TCTGCTCCAGCCTGTGTGTAGTATGAGCCTGCTGCTGCTGCTGCTGCCTCCTCGTACACGCACATCAATACCTCTCAGTCTGCTGCTATGATCTGCTTTCCCCGGGGGCTTCGCTCTGTGTGGGTAGAGAACAAGGCTGGGGTGGAAGGGGGGCGGTGGGTGGAGGAGTGAAAAGGGAGAGTGAGTGAGCGAGCGCTGGGACTTCCTGTACACTAGCCTTTCTCTTCTTAATGGAGCTGACCCATGAAACTGAACACCTTAACATGGCACAGGAGGATGTGCATGAAAGCTTACATATGATTCTGTTCATTTTAATGTCCTTGCCTAAATGCAGTGGTAGAGCGGGAAATTAGTAAACCTGCAATTAGGTTTAAGTTTCATTAAGGATTCATCTCTGGGATATTATTTTGATTAATCGAGAAATTGTTTCATCTATAAAATTTCAGAAAAGTTTGAAAAATGCACAAATAGGGCGCCCGGTTAGCTCAGTGGGTAGAGTTGGCGACCCATGTACCGAGGCTCAGTCCTTGCTGCAGCGGCCCAGGGTTCGAATCCGACCTGCGGCCCTTTGCTGCGTGTCATCCCCACTCTCTGCCCCCCTTTCCTGTCTGTCTTCAGCTGTCACTATAATAAAGGCAATTTAAAAAAAAAAAAGAAAAATGCACAAGTAGTCACAATTACTCGTAGCCCAAGGTGACATCTTGAGATGGTTTGAAACAGTCAAAAAACAAACACATTTACAAATAGAGGCCAGTGAATAGATATACCATGAGACAATATACATGAATGTGTCTGTTATTAGAGATTTTACTGACCAGTTTAGGGCTGCAAATAAGAATAATTTTCATTCATTAATAAGGATTATTGTCTCAATCAATAGATGAATAGTCTGTAAAATCAGAAAAGAGGGAAATATGTTCCGTCCACTATCATGTGTAAAAGAGAAAATCTGAAAATTCTCGTTTTTGAGAAGCAAATATTTGTAATATTAAACAATTGATCAAATTGATGATCAAAATAGTTGCTGATTACGTTTCTGTCAATCAGCAAATCGATTAATCAACATATTATGGTTTCATGTAACTATCCCTCTTAAATCTCTGGGTGTATTGTGGACAGTGTAGTGAATCAATAAATAGGACTGCTTATGGCAATGTTGGATTTTTATATGATTTTTACACCAATGTGATGAGATGCTCTGAAGTGTATTAAAGTATTTAATTTGCTCAATCAGTCAAAAACTATTCATTAAAATTTATTTTAACAATTTCTCAATTGTTTTTCCTGAATATTTTACTTTGTGAAGACATATTGATATTCAAGTTACTTAATCTTGTTCATCGACATTTTTATCAGCGTCAATTTTTGATAAGCAAAAAAAAAAAATAAAAATCACAGGTTCCAACTTCTTAATTTTGACTATTTCCTGGTGTTTTAGATCTTCTGTGATATCATGTTATAGATTTGGGTTCTGGACTGTTTGGGGACAAAACAAGCAGATTGAAGATGTCATCTCATCTTTCACAATTTTGGACATTTTATACAATAAATCGAGAGAATAAGCAACGGTAACTGAAATAATTGTACATGAATATTTGGTGTTTTTTGCTTGAGAAATGACTGAAACACTTGATTATCAAAGTTGATTAATTTTCCGTTGATTGACTGATTGATTGCTTACTCATATCAGCACTTAAACATTGTTACTTTCCAGCAGAGAAAAGCTCATTTTGCCTGACATAATGTGATAATTTCCACATTCAGCATTGATTGATTCTTTGATTCTGTTGTCTTGAACATATTTCAGTCGTTGCACAGAGGGTAGTATCAGGGAGGATATTCTGAATTCACCTGCCATAGTGCTTCTGCTAGGGAATAGTTGTTTTTGCTACGATGAGCAACCCAGTGGCTCTCGTCTCAGATGTTTTGAGTGCTTTTCAAATTCAGGAGTTCCCCTGCTATTTTTCCACTCAGTTGCTTTCACTTTGCTCACTTCAGTGTCCGCCGCCAACTATATTAGACCATGATACATCCATCAGCCATTAGGATCGAGTTTCAGTGGTACTGTAAATACACTGTGCCGCAGTCATACCTGCACATGGCCCCGCTCTGCTTTCAGTCCTCAATTTAGACGCCGTCATCAAGCAGGACTGACAGACTCACTGGGAGCAGCTCGCTCATAGGACAACTTCAAGTGTCATTTCAAACCAGAGATTCAATCACTTATGCTGATTATTTATTTTGTTTTTAACTAATTTAATAACAAAGCAGGTAGGGCTGCAACTAATAATGATTTTATTGTTAATTAGCCTGCTTATATATTTTTTAATTAATGATTGGGTCACTAAAATGTCCCAAAAATAGAAAGAGAATATTCACATTTTGAGATGGTTAAAACCATTTTAGGCATTTCTACTTTGAAATATTGACTTAAACTATCTTAAACTATGTTGATTATCAAAATTGTTGCATTATAATGTTTTATTAATTAACTAATTATTTCAACTCTACAAACAGGAGTTTCTTGTAGTATAACAATATGATCCAGCAGCTTCTGCAGCAGCTCATTATGGTACCTTTTTAGATGTTACAGTTGCATGTATTGTATTTGAATTCGCTTTCTATTATGCTTTTATTCAAATTACACTCAGATTTGTGTATTTTTGTTGCTCTGTCTCCCATCCTGACATTGTTGGAGATAGACAACACTTGTTGGATGTGGGCCTCTCAGAAACGGGCCAACTATTCTGTGAATGGAGTCGAGGGAAACCCCCGTAGTTTCAGTGTGGTGACTCACAGCTCCTGGTGTCCTGTGGAATTTGGTCAAGTGCCTATTTGTGGTCAAGAGGATATATCTCATAACCTACTTCTGCTTTGATATATATTTTTTCCAAGTAGAGTTTATGCTTGTGGCTTATTTATAACTGTTAGGTCTTGTGAGTGTGCATCAAAACACAAATGACGTACAGAAACGTAAACGAGGCCAAGCTGTGGCTTCAGATTTTCCAGCTCCTCTTGTTTTAAAAAGCATCTGAATGTAGTTAAGGACTCTAAAACCGATCGAGGAAAACAAGGGGGTCTTTTGTAATCCCCTAAATGGGAATTTCACCTTCTTCTCCTCTTCTCTGGTTGATGATTTTATTTCAAACAAATGAACTCAAACTTGAGACAGAGGGGACATCCTGCCTGTCGCTGCATCTCTATTAAGTCAGAGCACAAGAATGCATGAAGCTCTCTCTGCGTTGACCTTTTAACTCTCCTCTCACATTCCTTATTCCGGGGGCAATGTTTTGTCATCATAATGCCCCACTTTACTGTATGCCAGGGTAATTCCATCACTAGCATGTGAACAGGCCTGGCTTTTGTGAGTGCCGAGTAAATGTTAGGCTGTCTTTCTATCCACCTCTCTCCTCGTTTTCTCCCACAGCCTTTTTTTCTCCCCCTCTAAGTCTGCTTTGGGTGCTATAATAGTATCTCAACTGACAGCATTCCTGCAAGAGGGCACGGCCCAAATGACGACAACTTTTGGGAGGTTGGAGGGTGGTTGGGGGGTGTTCCTCTCTTTCCACTTGCAGACCTGATGATGCCACACCTTCTCTGCTGTCTGCACCTAAAACCACACCTTCTGTCAGGCTGGTTCCACCCACAGGAGTCCCTTTACTGAGAAAGCCTGGATGACTTAATAAATCAGCAAGAAGAGACCTTTTAAAATTTCTTTTTTTCTTGTTAATGTAGATTTATTGTTTAGCAGTGTCTTGCAGCTTAATTTGAGGAGTTTATCTGTTGTGTGCTGCTATATTTTACATGAAGACGCTGGTGGATTTGTGTGCTGTAGCCCAGAATGACACATCTTAACTGCATGTAACTGCAGACTAAGCATTTCATATTTTTCAAATGTTTTAGATTGATTTTCTACATTCGAGGCAGCCATTTTTACTTATACGTTTAAGTGCATTAATGAAATGAACATCCATAGTTGAAATTTGCTTGAGAGATTTAATCATTCACGGTGAACATTTAGCTTGCTTCAAATGAATTAATTCAGTTTTATTTTATTCTAGTGAAGAGAGTTCTGAAACCTCTTCCTTGGTAGTGCATTCAAGGAACCCTAACGTCCAAGAGTCTTCACAGTTGACTACCAGAAAGTTTGTGCATTCACAACTTATGTTTTTGCAGAATCATATCAGAAGTTGCAATGTGGAATTGGTGATTAGATCATGTAAATTTGGTTGTTTTCTGTCTTTAAAATCACAATGAAACACAGTTAAAGTGTGTTTATCATCGATGCTGGATCAGTGTGTAGTGCTTTGCAAATACGGTGCAATATGGAGCTGTATAAGTCTGTTGGCCTCCACTAACACCTTCCTCATACAGAGACACATGATAAGAACTTGGACAATTTAAAAAAAAAAAAAAAAAATGATTTCACTGTGCCTTTTTATAAAAAGTTGTGCTTTGATTACCAGCTCTCGGATGTCTGCGCTTCCTTGAAAACAACATGGATGTGTTATTTAAATCTTCTCTACTGTAGTATGTAGTGTATTACCAAGTGATGATAATTTAAAATTGACCAAAAAAAAAGCAAATAAGTTTCATGCCTCTGCAAGTTAATTTTGAAATAAATGGAAACTCAGTTTATGGTAGGCTGCACTTTGGAAAATGTCCAGCTGTGATGGAAATTCCGTGTATTTCGTTGTCAATGGGCTCAAACATGCAAAAACCACTAATATGACCCTTTAATACCAAGAGGAGGTGTTTGTCTTTAATCAGTCATTGTCTGTACTTGCTGTCTTGACGTCATTAAATGGGACCTGAGTGTAACGGAGGTTTATCATACCAGGTGTTACTATCCGTTGCATATTACGCAGTTTCAGTTGACATTGTGTAAACGCTGCAGCTGAGGAAAACCAAAATAAAAGTTTTTGACTTACAGGATGCTCTTTCAGCCATCTTGCTGCATCACTCATCTCTTTTTATGTGTGTGTCTCTCTAACATTCAGGTACAGAAGCAGGTCCACCCAAACCTCATGGCGAAGGAGGATGCCCTGCAGCACATCGAGGAGCTGATCCTACAGCTGCTCAACATGCTGTGTGTGGCCCAGCCTCGCTCCGTGCAGGATGTAGAGGTAAGACATTCTACGGAGCATCTGAATATACATTCATAATATGTTGTAAATGGACCGAAGTGTGAACTTTTAAACAGATTCACATTTGTTACGAAATTTTGGCACTTGGGGAACACATGCTCCCACAGCATCATTCCACGTAACTAATTAAATGCATCTGTGCAATGCAACTTTCAATCATCTTAATGCTTCCAGATTTATCAAATGTTAAGACAATAATTTCCCTCTTTCTAGGAACGGGTCCAGAAAACCTTTCCCCACCCTATAGATAAATGGGCGATTGCAGACGCCCAGTCAGCTATCGAGAAACGCAAGAGGAGAAACCCCTTACTTCTCCCTGTGGACAAGATACACCCTCTGCTTAAGGTAAAGACTCCAGATGAGCCCTGCAGTCTTTACATAAATCCCATAAAGCTTTACGCTCCAGAATTATGCTTTTTTTTAATAACAAGTTTAAGATTGTCATCTGTTCTAACTAACAAGGTATGTTTCAAATAACCTATTCTAGCAGTGTTCACATTCCAAGACATAGTCAACTCTGACGCAAGTGGCAGAAAGTTGTGGAAGTTGCTGGGAAATATTTATAATCCAATTTAGCTTACTGTTTTGACAGCTTGGTTCACACTAGTTGAATTGCCCTGAAGTGATGGAGTCCTCAATGTAGTTTCTGTTCATGATTTTGAACTGCTGATTGACCCCTTCATAATACTTAATATGGCTTTTTTTCCTTTATTTTAATTTCAACAGGAGGTTTTGGGCTATAAAGTGGACTACCATGTTTCCCTGTACATCGTGGCTGTGCTTGAATACATATCAGCAGACATACTGAAACTGGCAGGAAACTATGTCGGCAACATTCGGCACTATGAAATCAGCCAGCAGGACATCAAGGTGTCCATGTGCGCAGACAAGGTGGGTATTTGTGAGGAAAGGGAAAGCTCACTCTCACGGTTTGATAGATGCAGACTCGGGGCATTTATGAAACATCATAAGAAAGGAAGGAAAAGCTTTGCTTCGATTGATTGATCTCCTTTGTTTTGTTTGTTTCCAGGTGTTGATGGACATGTTTGACCAGGAGGAAGACATCGGCTTGATGTCTCAGTGCACAGAAGAGCCGTCGTCCTCTGGGGAGCTCACGTACGACGACCTGGTGAGGCTTGAAATCGCAGAGGAGCGGCAGTACCTGCGAGAGCTCGACCTCATCATCAAAGTGTTCCGCAATCACTTCCTGTCCAACCCGAAAATCTTCACGCCTCAGGTGAGGAAGACTTGCACAGTTAATTAAGAAGTAGTCAAACCTGCAATATTGTTTGTTTCTCTAGTAGATTGTTTCAGATCTGTCACTTGTGCTAGTCTGCACAATCACTGCTCAGAATACTTAATCATTATCGCTTATCATTACCATCTTATTTTCATAGGAAAAAGGGATTTCATCAACTACTAAAACTACCACTTGTAGTAGTAGTTTATATGTGCATAGAGTTTGCCTTATTTATCAATATGTATCAGCACTTTTTCACAGTAGGAACCCAATATATTCTCAGCACTATTGATTAGGATATCATTTGAAGCATTTTTGTGGATAAAACAGATAACTTTTTACTTTTCACAGCCACTCACAGCTGTTTAATGCTGTTTATAAGATGTTTGTATCACAACAGTAATAAAACACTGCATAAGAAACTGTGGCTGTTGCGTATTAAGTGGAAAATGACAAAAAAAATACTCTCAAAAGAAAATTGATTACCCCTTATAAAGCCACACCACCATTGCTCCCCAGCAGATTTATTCACCTAAATGTGCTGGGTACTAATGAAAGGTACAAACACATACACCAGCTGAATACAGAAGCTGTGGCCAGCTTACTCTAAAGCCAGCTTATAAACAAACAATCAGGTTTCCATCTGAATTCTGTAAACCTAATTATAAAGTCATTTCGGCTAAATCCAGCGTAAGAACATTTAAAGATTACAACTGAAACTCTGTAATCGGCTAACTGGTAATCAGCATCAGGAAGCACTTTGAAACACCCAACTAGATTTCAGTGTTGAGTTGTGTTATAAAACCTGAAGAAAAGACCGACAGTTGTATTTTTCCTCTTTCCCTTTTAAATTATTGGAATATTGCTTTGCTATGAATACCATGAGAAACTGAAACTTCTAAGTTTAAGGTTCCTCCACACTGCAAACAAAACCAATGCCAATTACTCTCATATTATCAGAGACTGAAGACATTGTCTTTTCTGATGGATGACCAGAGTCATGGAACAGCCAATATAACCACGCCTTCAAAAAAGCGTAAACAATTGTGTACCATCTCCCAAGGCGCCACCCACGCTCTCTGACCCCTCCAGTAAACATAGACATTCATATCTGTCTCAGAGGGCTAACCGACAAAACAAATTGCTAATTACATTGTGTCTATTATAGCAATTAAGTGCTCTAAATTCTCCAAAAAACAAAGACGATGTATGGGTAGGGGTAAGAAGTTTGAACAGTGGGCCTATTGGTTGAGAAGTGAATGGAAAGTTGAGTTTAGTGGGTCGCTGTGGCTTTGCATATTTTGGGTTGGGCAATTTGTGGTATCATTTGGGTGAGGAGGATAAACCTTTGTGAGGCCCAGTGGAATGCAGAACATGTAATTACGTTGAGACAGGAACAACATCTGCAGCCCTCGCAAAAATAACCTCAATTATGTCTGTTGAAACACAGCATAATCTGAAATTACTTGGGAGATGTCAGGAAAGTGTTACGGTCAAATAATGACAGGACTGAACTTCTATTCAGACTTCAGCAGTCAATAATCACTCTGTGCTATTTTAGGATTCTCATCTGCTTGACTAATGATTTCCTCTGGCAAATTGACCCTGTTGTTGTTCTTGTTGTTGTTTTTGTTTAGAGCTCATTCTCACCACTATTTCTACTGTTTATTTATCCAGAGGAGGTAGGCCAAGAATGGGAGCTCTTTCAGCAACACACCGCTATACACCCCTACGGTTAAACACCTTCAGTGTGTTTACATGCACTGAAGATACCTGGTTATTGTTGGTTTCCTGTAGTAGGCATTCTGGCACAAAAAAAAACTGCTGGTGCAGCTCCAACTGCTAACCATGTTTATAAGCAGCCAACACAGCGGCCAAACTACAATAACTAACGTCTTTTTGTTTGTTGAACATTACAACGTAGTATCTTTGCCTCATGTTAGAAAATCCCTGAAATAAGAGATTGGGAGAAACTTGGGTGACAAAGCGAAATATTTGCCAGAAAAACATGACCTCTTGGACATGTGGATGCTGAATTGTGTGTCTGACAAGATTCTTTTCAAGCATCTGTATGCTTGCAGGAAAGGTTTGTTGCAGCAGTCTGGTGGGATGAAAGGAAATATCTTCAATTGAAATCCAAAGTTTGACTAAAACTGAAACTTCAAAAAAAAGTATAAGTCAGTCAGTTTTCACTACAGTCGGTCTAACGAACCAAGAGGGGAAAAAATCTGACCAGTTACCTGTAAATACAGGTTTTAAAGTAATCTGCTCAGGAGGTAGAGCAGGTTGTCCACTAATAAGAAGTTTGGCAGTTCGATCCCCAGCTCCTCCCTCTGCATATCGAAGTGTCCTTGGGCAAGATACTGAACCCCAAATTGCTCCTGCTGTGCCATCTGTGGGTGAATGGGAATAGTTAGTAAGGAGGCTGGCACCTTGCATGACTTCTCCCATCACTGCATGAATGTGTGCACTATACTATAGACTAGTAAGGCACTATACTGTGTAAGTGCAGTCCATTTACCATATCAGAATGATGTTAATACAGGATGTTAATCTCAGATTTTGTGCCGAAACCAGATTTTTTTTTTAGCCAGTTTCTTCTGTGCATGTAAACATAAACATGTAAACAAACTTTAATAACTGAGCAGGTTGAGCACATTTAAAAAGTACTCCACAGCACTGCACTATAACATTGTAGGACTCATAATACTTGATGCATCAGAACCAGAGATGTCATCTTTTTTTATTCTGCGCATTCTTCTTTCTTGTCAAAACCTTTGACCTTCATTACCCACAATGCAACTCAAAACAAGGCCTGTAAACAGACATACGTCAAATCAGTTTTAAGAGTAGAAGGAGGTAAATTGGTCAATTAGTCTCTCTCCCTACATTGAACTTTCCCAGTTGTTTAAAGGATTCAGTCTAACATCTTTTGTGGTCACAAACCTACAATTCTAACCTCTAAGTTTCTTGCCTCCTGTTGTGTAGGATGTGGAGGTGATCTTCAGTAACATCCTGGACATCCATGAGCTGACGGTGAAGCTGCTCGGACTGATCGAGGATGCTGTGGAGATGACGGCCGATGGCAGCCCTCATCCACTGGTGGGCAGCTGCTTTGAAGATCTAGCAGAGGTATGAAGCTTTTCCAACTCTGACCTAATCCCAATATAAATTGCTTGAATTGTCAAGTGTGTAAAATGCATGAAAATTTGTTCTAGCAGTCACACTGCTAGGAAATGTTGACAGGGGTTATAAACAACAGGCGCTTAGTTTCCACAGGTTGAGTTTTTATTTGTGGGGGTCATGTCATGGTAAAAAAAGCTATGACACCAAACTTTTCAGAGTTGAGAGTTACATTCCTGAGATAAAAAGCCGTATAAGGTGGTATCTGATCCACGGCTTGCAACTGATTAATGAAATGAGTTTTCCCAAAGCCAATCAGCTGTTTAGATGGCATTTCCAAGCTCACAGACAAATAATTTGTATTACTCCTTTTTATTTCCTTTTATGGGGGAAACTCTGTTTGAGTGGGCTGCCGAAAGATAGTTGCTAATGTGAGAGACACTTATAAATGGAAAACAGTGCTAACAGATACCTCATAGCAAATTAATGTGTACAAATGTGTGTTCAAACTGTCAATCAAACAAGTGATGTTGCATCTCTTGAGTGCACTAGGGTCCTAGCATTTCTACTAACCCCATACTAACCCCCATACCTTAATATTTATTTCTTATTTACGTCATCCTAATTGATATCTGGGACCACTCCCCACTCAGACATTTTACTTTTACTATGTTTGCAGAATTTACTGTCTGAAAATTAATCAGTTTGTAAGTGTTGATGATTCAAGTTATCAGCTCATTAACTGAGTTAATGTCTTAAACATTAACTAATGTTTGAGACATTAGCTTTTATTTTGCACCTGAGCACACTCATCGTCATGGAAGACTCATGAGTTATTCTCTGTCTATAGGAGCAGGCGTTTGACCCCTATGAGACCATGTCTCAGGATATTCTCAGTAAGGATTTCCACGAGCACTTCAACAACCTGATGGCACGGCCAACCGCCGGCCTCTACTTCCAGGTAAGATGTTCAAAGTATTTGCCCGAGCCTGTTGTTTGACACATTAGCTCCTGAGGGGTTATTAGAAAATGGTAAAATTACTTGAATTACGTCCAGGTCTGAGCTCATTTGGGATGTACTATACAAGAAAAGTAGAAAAAAGACTTGAGAAAGACGTATTCTGCTCATGCTTTTCCACCTTTTGGCATATGTCACTTGTAATCTTCAAGAATAAGGTGTTACAGGCTGATTCAGCCATTAGTATAACACAGAAATGTACATATTTAAAGAAAAATCATTACATTAACAAATAAAACATAAACACGCCAAGTCTAACTCTAGAAAATCTAACATTTCCAATTTCTCTTCCCCTGTTAAATAATCATAAACAGTATTTTTTTTTCATTGAAGTCTGTGTCTTGGTGTATTTTTACTCAGTAGGTTATAATCTGTGACATTAGATTGCCATGCTATGGGTTTCTTATAAAGCAAAAATGAAAAAAAAAAAACTGTTTTAATATGAAGGTACAAGTAGGTCATTTATGTGTTTACACCAAGCAAACGGTGTTTGAATATTTGTTCCGGTTTTGCTTTGAAGTCAACCTGCGTGCCTGGTGGAATTCCTCCCAATATCGTTTGAGGGCATGTCATGACATATTCAGCGTCCTGTGTACAGTTTATTCACTGCTGCCGCATTGTTTTATTTGGACATTCCTCACAAGAATAGCATTGAATTATGCTCGGTGGGGTGCAGTTTGGCAGCCTTTGAAGATGAAATATTTGCTAGTGTTTTCTCAGGCCAAAGACCAGCGAGTCCGACTGTTCACATGAGGCAACATCAGAGCTCCAAAAACTCACAACAGGATTTACAGTACGGTGGTTTTTCTGCCTCCTTTTCAAGGGTTTGAACACCAATCTGCTATTTTATTGAGACTTTATGTGAACAGACCTGCCATGCGGCTGCCTACACTGTTGGTTTTGTAGTAAAGTGATAAACGCTGCTGCTGCCTGACCTTCCTGCGTCCCTACTGTACGTCAGGTTGAGGCCTCGCTGTGTTTACCCTCAAAGCACCACTTTCAACCCAGTTAGATCAACACCGATGGCACTGTCCTCTGATTACCCACACCCAGTGTTTATTTTCATATACTCATTGTAAGAGAGTGGGGGAAAGGGCACAAGAGTTAAAAATAAAGCTGTGTATTTACACTGCATAGACGGTACCACTGTATTTATTTAAAAACACCTTGCATTGTTGCACCTTAATCCATAACAGTGCGTAACATGAAACAGGCACGTTGTCTCTCAATATGCCTGTCTCTTGAGTATCAATATTTATTTATTTATTTATTTTAGATACAGCTGAAATGATAAATTGAGAAGTCGATGGCAGACAGAAATCTTGAAAAGCAACTGTTCTGTAATATCGATCAATACTTTTTAAAATAAATTTCCTGGTTCCAGGTTCTCAGTGTGGAGATTTGCTGCTTTTCTTTCTCATGGATCTAAGGGAAGTTAAACGGGCGTTCCTTACTATTTTCTGACAAAACAATTAGTTGATTAATCGAGATAATAATCTGCAGATTTTTCCATAATGAAAATGATTTTTAGTTTGCAGCCCTAGTTTTAAAGCTGAATGATTAGTTGAACAGATAATTAATTGGCTTATTAGAAAATCAATTCAGTTAGTTTTTTAAAATATAAGGATGTATATGAATGGCAAAAATGACCCAGTTCCATCTTCTCAACAGTTTCAATTTGCTTTGCCTCAAAACCGCTGTTACGCTCACATTTTACTTTATAACCGTTCGACCAAAACTCTCATTCAGTGTTCAAATCCGACAATTACTGTGTTCTTAAAGGAACAGTTTGACGTTTTAGGAAATTTGCTAGTTAGATAGTTAATTGATAAAGAAAAACAACAATATATGTAGTATTGTTGTGTATATATGTATATATAGTATTTAATCTTTAGTTTAATCTTATTGTATGAAGTCTAATATTTTAATATTAAAACATGTTTATAGTATTTATACTGCAGATTGCAACTATCTATCCTCTTGTTATCGATTAGTGATTTTGATAATCGCTCTATAAAATGTCAGAAAATATGAAAAATCTAATTTTTACCAAAGTGACATTGTTTTTTCTCCTCCTGTTACTTAAAACAGTTACTTGAAAATAATAAATAAGTGATATTTATTGTAGTGCAAATCCATTTCACTTGGGGTTGCTGTAGTGTGTGTGTGTGTGTGTCTGTGTGTCTGTGTGTGTGTGTGTGTGTCTGTGTGTGTGTGTGTGTGTGTGTGTGTGTGTGTGTGTGTGTGTGTGTCTGTGTGTGTGTGTGTGTGTGTGTGTGTGTGTCTGTGTGTGTGTCTGTGTTCCCAGGGGCACATGGTGTCTCTCTACCAGCCCTCCCACACACACCTTCTATCCCTTTTTATCCAACTGCCCCGTTTCTACGCTGTTAGCTAATCTTATTTTAGCATCTCTGACCTGATGGCTGTGCGTCTCCTCATCTCTCCGCCTTCTTCGTACAACGTGAACCACCTTACGGACACTTTTACCCGCACAGCACCTGGTATAAATGCATACATATTACACCGTTAGCTGTAATGGGGATCAACTCGCTGGCGGTAGAATCATCAGTGCTCCTGCTCTACCTCTTCAGCTTTTGTCTCATTGCATGTGCTTCATCTTTCTGACTCCATCCTCCTTGACTTTTCCTCTCCCCTCCCCGCTCTCTGTCAGATAGATGTGTCTGTCGAGCACTCAGCCTCTGCACTCTGCAGCGTCTGGTATTGTGGGTAAATTACATCGCCTTTTAAAAATAGAACAGGCAGCCACACTGCGGGCCATTTTTCTCCTGGGGAGGAGGAGGGGAGCAGGCGACCCAAGGCGCATTTTGTGTTGGGGGGGGGGGCTTTGAATTAAGACGACAAAAGACAGCGACATGGGTTCAAGCTGTACCTCAGTGAAATGGGAACATGTTCTAAAAGTCGTTCTGTACCGTATTCTTGCTGCACTGTGTGTATATATTTGTGCCGCTTTCACAATGATGCACGCTCCTGTAGAGACTCGTTTTTCTATGTTATCCAACACAATATCCACATTATTTCCAGTTTACCTGCTCAGATCAGATGTATAAATAGGCCTTTACATTGAGCTGAGATCCCTTCTGAGAGCTCAAGCAATCTTGGATTTCTGAGGAGATACACGTCAGTAAAAGTAAAAACAAAGTTACATTGCTTTACATAAATGCACCATGTGAACACGCATTTTGGCTAGGATAAATCAATTTGCCTTTGACGAAGATTTGTACTGTGGCTGGATATTAGTTTATATGTATCATCAGATCTATTTTATAGTATTCTGTCAAATATCAATTGGCATCAATCATCTATTTTCCTTTGTTCTTGAGTGGCGTAATTGTTTTACTGCCCTTGAATGTTTCGAAGTGACAGAACACCACCGTTATTTTCAAATTTTTCTTCATAATCATTCGACCAACACTTTCATTAAATGTTCAAAACCTACAATTACTGTGTTTTTAAAACAACAGTTTGCCATTTGGGCAAATTTCCTAATTCACTTTCTTGTCGAGAGTTAGATGAGAAGATCGATACCACCCTCTCTGGCATACAGCAGCAGGTTAGCTTAGCATAAAAACTGGAAGCAAAATTTAGTAACATCCTACTTGCTGGTTGCTTTTGTAGTTAAAAAGTTCTCACCTTGAACCGCAACTACATTTTAGAAATGCAGTCCGGTTAATCACAGCGTGTTTGAAACAAACTCTTATTTTAGTGGTGTATAGGGAGTGCACTGAAGGACACACTTTAAATGCATAGCGCAAGTATTGCAGCCTATATTCACAGTGCCTTTTAGGATGCATCTCAATGTGTAGCCCTAATGCACACAGACAATTTGCAGACAACCTGCAGGATGCTGACATATCAATAACATGATCTAAACTTAGGTCATTGTTCCCTCGGCTGTCCATCAGTGTGCGTCAGGCAGCTGATGTCTTTCTTTTCCATGCACACAGACCCTCTTTATCTTCTCCCCTCCCCACACAGACAGCGTGGCCACTGCTGTGGAGTCTGAGTAGTAGCATATTGATTCTGAGTCGTCTATCAGGGGAACAGGAGATTTAAATGGATACTATGACGGCCTCCTCTCCGGTTACCCTGAAGCCTTACTCGGTCAACCGCTTCTCCCTCCCTCCCTCCCTCCCGTCCTTCATCACTCTCATTTATAGACTGAAATATGCACATTTCAATTGTCCTTGTCTTCACAGTCCTCTACTTTTTATAATTTGGGATTTTTTCCCTGTATTTTGTGGTGAGGAATACTGATTTTGTCAACTGAATTGTTTTATCTTGTTAATTTATAATCTGGGATGTATTTCTGTCCATTGTTGATCACATTTTACTCTCTGGTATTATGATATTGAGTAAAACTGGATGCATCTTTACAAAGGCTGCTTCTGAGGCCACAAAACACAAGCCTCTGACAGGTTTAAACACATCCAGTCATCTAAATAATTCTTATTTGGAAGTGAAAATGAAAGTTTAAAGTTCTGTTTTATGTAAATGATTTGGTTTTTTTTATGTGGTTTGTATCTTGTATAAGACATTGACAATGAGAGACATTTGTTAAAGCTGTTACAGTCAATGATTTTTTTCAAATTAGGGAAAAACTCTCGATCACATGCATGTTGCATCAAATCTGTTAATATTGTTGACACTCTGACCCATCACTAACAGTCCTTATGTGTCTTTGTGTCTCCAGTCAGTTGCAGAAGGCTTCAAAGAAGCAGTCCAGTATGTCCTCCCACAGCTGATGATGGTCCCAGTATACCACTGTATGCACTACTTTGAGTTACTGCAGGTATGTACTGACACATGGACAATACTAATCAAAAACAGGATTCCTTTTCAGTTTTCTTTGTTTTACATTTATTTTGCTGATCAAATCCCCTGTTTGATGACAAACATGCTGCATTGACATATTTTGTGACGTCTTCATGCCAACAAACAAGCATGTTTACACCTGGTGTTAGACTGCGTCTTGGGTGATCTGATCACAAGTGGACAGTTGTAAATAAGTGTTAACGCCCGAGACGCATTGTGATCCGATCACTCAAATCACTTGCCAAGGTGGTGTTTACCTGCAGAGAAAAGCAGCAGATGTTTCAATTGATTTGACCACTTAAGTAGTAACCGCAAAAGACTTCCTTAAATTATTGCCCAATTTTGGGAGTTATTGAGTGAGGAGAAACTTTAATCTTTGTGAAATGTTATCTACAACATATTGTTAATTATTTGGATGTGAAAACATCAGATTTCCACACAGAAAAGCGTGTGTTCTGCTCATAAAGTTCAGTTAAAAAATCCCAGAAAGTGCAGCAACGTCCTTCTTCCAGGGCTGCTGACAGTGTAGGTAAAAGTGACGGGCTAGTGTGTCGCTGAACTAAAAAAAAAAAAAAAAAAAAGGACAATAATAATGGACATTGATAAGGTTTTGAGTAGGGTACAGCCCTGTAGAGTGGGGAAGTGAGAGCCGATCACAAGTGGTCACTTGAGATGCATGTGGAGACGCATTCTAATGACAGGTGTAAACAGGCTCAGTATTTAATGCTTGGTTAGCCATTAGCTATATCATATGTCTCTGAAAATTCAATAATAATATTATTAACACCTGTTCTTTCCCTGCTATGACAAGTCAAATCTACAGACCATCTATAGACTTCTGTATTATGAAGTATAGCAACATATCTGGTGTGTGTCTCTGTGTGTGTGTGTGCGCGTGCGTGTGTGTGTGTTTTCTGGGATTTTTACAGCAACTTCAGGAGCGCAGTGACGACCAAGATGACAGAGAATGTCTGAAACAGGCGATCACAGCGCTGCTTAACCTTCAGTGTAGTGTGGAGCGCATTTATGCCAAGCACCAGCCTCGCCGTAAACCTGGGTAAGCCCCTCCCAACTAGTATTTATTATAATTACTATTAATTTAGTCATTCTGTCGAAATTTTATTGACCAAAAGAAGTGTGTCTACATGTGCTGCATTTGCTTTAAAACATGTTTCTCAGTTAAACAGATCATATCGCCAACCTGTTGGCACACAAGAAAGATGCCATTGGAGCATCCAGCAGCACACATTTATCTAGTTTTGATGTTTAGTGGTTTAATGTTTGATTTCCGCATTGAGCGTCTCAGTTTTCTGACTTTAGACTTCTCTTGTCCCGCATAGTGAGCCCATGTACCGCCTCTACAGCAGGCAGGTTCGTAGCAAACAACTAGCCATCAAGCGCATGAACGAGATTCAGAAGAGCATCGACGGCTGGGAGGGAAAAGACATCGGTCAGTGCTGCAGCGAGTTCATCCTGGAGGGGCCACTATTACGAGCTGGGGCCAAGCACGAAAGACACAACTTCCTGTTTGACGGCCTGATGATAAGTTGCAAGGCCAATCAGAGTTCACGGCTCCCAGGTTCGGGCAGCGGGGCGGAGTATCGCCTGAAGGAAAAGTTTGTGCTGAGGAAGATCCGCATTGTGGATCGTGAGGACTCTGAGCACGCCTTTGAACTGATAGGAAAAGATGAAAACTGTGCGGTTTTCTGTGCACGGACAGCAGAGGAGAAGGCGGCGTGGATGGCAGCGCTGGTGACTCTGCAGTACCGCTCCACTTTGGATCGCATGTTGGACACAGTGCTGCAGCATGAGGAACAGGCACATCCTCTAAGACTACCCTCCCCGGAGGTTTACCGCTTTGCTGTGCAGGACTCTGAGGAGAATATTGTGTTTGAGGACAAAGTGCAGAGCAAAACGGGCATCCCCCTCATTAAAGCTGGCACTGTGGTCAAGCTCATAGAGAGGCTCACCTACCAAATGTATGCTGGTAAGCTGTGGCAGAAGATCTTCTTTTGGGGAGAAGTTTGACATGTTTCAGTTTAATCTGCTCACTTGCTGTTGTTTATTTTTACATTGTGATGTTGATTGTCTGTGTTTGTTATCTAATCTATTTCATCCATTTGTAGATCCTAACTTTGTGCGCACGTTTCTTACCACATACCGATCATTCTGCAAACCACAAGAGCTTCTCACCCTGCTGATAGACAGGTACGGTTCCAACAGAAGAACTGTCCTTACGCCAGTGTTGTCATTGCTGTAGTTGTTTTTAATTTATTATTATGTTCGATCTATTCTCAGGATTGAGATCCCTGAGCCAGAGCCGACTGAGGAGGACCGACAGGCTCTCTGGAACGGTGACCAGCCAATGGCGGCCGAACTCCAGAGATTCCGGAAGGAATACGTGCAGCCAGTCCAACTCAGGTACGACGCCTGTCCAATCACAGCTGCAGCCGTCACAGTTGATTGCTCCTGCAGGGCTCCCCAGAGACAAAGAGAAACAACTGCAAGTGATAGTAAAAAACAAAGGTTTTTGAGGGCATGCTGGTCACACTAAGAAGAGGAAAATACAAATAAAACGGCACCACAAGACAAAAAAGTAAAATTAGAAATAAGAGCATGAGATGGGTGGATTTATTGATTGGCTTATCTTAAACCTGAGGAGGTTGGGGCGCCATGGTAGCTAACCTGGTAGAGCGTGGGGCGTGGTCGACAGGTTGGAATCCAACCCATGGCCCTTTGCAGCTCTTTGTTGTCTCTGTCATAAATAAAGGCATAAATAATAATAATAATAATAATAATCTTCTTAATAATTATAATTCTAATCTTTTTAAAAAAATCTGAAGTCAACTTGATTTGTAGTGTCGTATATAGGTTAAAATCAAACTTCTCCCATTAATGCAGTGTTGTTATTAGACCTTTGGTTACTTACATTTTAAATAAAAATTGCTCAGAAATGTTTGTTTAAAAATGTATTCCCGCGAGTCTCTAAACTTTATGAAATATAAAAGGTTTTTCTAGCTTGAATTGCTTTCTTTTATTTCCTTACAAGGCCTTTCAAAATGCCCCAAAGAGTCTGTGTCTCTTGTCTTCTGTTGTTGTTTGGCTCTTTTACACTCTCCTGTTAAGGCCTGAGTGTTCTCATATAATAACTTTTGTATTAGACTTTGTATCCTTATAAGGAGTAACAGAGTCAGGAACAGTCCCGTAAGTACCATTTAAAAACTTGAGAGCTTCAAAGTATGAGACTGCACTGCTGCAATAAAATCCTTTTTAAATTTAAGTCACAGAAACAGTTGAACACAAGTGGGTAGTTATAGTAGCTGCACTCTGTGAGTTACAAGTCACACATACTGTATATCCTCTGCATCAACAGTGATTTGTGAAAGACCAAAAAATGGCAGTAAGTCAGTCATGAATTCCTGTATATGTTAGGGCAGAGTGACAGGCTAAGATAAAAATATTCAGCAAGGGTTGTTAACATCTTTGTCTGCATTGGCATGAACCTACATCAAAACACCGCCAAGTGTTTGAGCGTAGACTGGATACATAAATTAAAGGAAATTGTCATGTATTTTAGGCTGGTCTATTGTTATGTAAATATTTTAATGTGGTCCAACCATTTATTTTAAAACCAGGATCCTCAAAGTAGGTAAAAATACCTCTTCAGGCATGACATTTGCCCTTTTAAAGCACAAAACGTCCGTGCTGTTTCTATATTTAAGTACCACACTCTCATAAGTGAACTGACCAGAATGAGGAATACACGCTGGCCACCAGCCAAAAACGGTTCAGTTAAGGACTCAATTCTATCAACCTCTTTACCAGGTAATACTACTATTCATATTTTTTGGTTGATATATAAAATTTAAATTTGGGTGGTGGCACAGCAGTTGAATGGTTGCCCTTCATATCGCTTTCTCTCCCCTTGTTTCCTATTGGCCTCTGCACTACTGACTCTCTAAAAAAAAGGCTAAATGGCAAAAAACAAAAAAATTATCTTGAGTGTGGGTGGTAAAACAGTAAAATGTGAATGAAAATGTTTGTTTCCTGTTTTTGTTACTGCACAGTTGTCCATAAATGGAATAATGTTTTCAGTTCGCACAGACTGAATTTCCTTACAAATACTTGCGTGTGTCTGAAACATTAGGACGACAATATGATAGATATATATCTATATAATTATTGTAACATGTCTTTGTTTCACAGGGTTCTCAACGTTTTCCGTCAGTGGGTCGAACATCATTTCTACGACTTTGAGAATGATCCAGAGCTGAGAAGTCGGTTAGAAGACTACATCACCAGCAAAATTCAACTACGAGGTCAGAACTACGTAGTGCGTGCGTGCGTGCGTGCGTGCGTGCGTGCATGCACACATTCAGCCTTGTAACATCAGTATTAAGGTTTTTCTCTTCCTTCATTAAAGCATGCTTTGCAAAAAGCTCAATTATTTAGATTAATTCTAACATGGTTTTCACAATAAGAGCTCACATAGGCACTGACACAGGCTGTTGACATAGTCCAGTGGGTTTGTCTGTCGGCACAAACCTATTACATGAACAAGGCTTTTTTTTTTCATAGTTCCTTTTGCTTAAATTGTGCCAATTTTTGCTCAGATTAAATCAGATATTTATGTTGTTCCTTATCATTAAACACATCTTTTTGTAAAGCAACTCATATGCAACAGCAAATGCATGACTGTCAGTAATGAGTAAAGAAACTGTATTTGCGTGGTCGTTATGTTAAAAGTTTGGTTGGTGCAGTCTAACTTAACTGTGTTAACTAAAATACATAACAAGACTCTTGATGCTTGGATTGCGGCATGAAATTCATGTTTGTGGAATGACATTTAGAAAGTAAAGCTTTGATATACAACGTATGTTTTATACACTGCATTTCCTTTTTTTTTTTTTAGGCAAGTCTATGAGAAAGTGGGTTGAGTCCATCAACAAGATCATCAAGAGGAAGATGCAGACGCAGTCAAATGGTGTTAGTCACAACATCACCTTCGAGAGCCCGCCTCCTCCCATCGAGTGGCACATATGCAGAGCGGGCCAGGTGGACTTGTTTGACCTCATGACCCTTCATCCTATAGAGATCGCCCGCCAGCTGACTCTGCTGGAATCAGAGCTCTACAGGTGAGTCGCTGTGACAGAGCAGTGCCTGAAGACTTAAATGTGTATTTATCCATTTGTTTATACAGAAAAAATGAAATCATCTGCTGGAGTTGAGACATTTACCTTTATCGTCCACAGAGCTGTCCGGCCGTCCGAGCTGGTCGGCAGCGTCTGGACCAAAGAAGACAAAGAGAAGAACTCTCCTAACTTGCTCCGCATGATCCGCCACACCACCAACCTCACACTGTGGTTCGAGAAGTGAGTCGACATATTCAAATATTTTATACACAAGAAAATCCGGAATTGGTTTTAGGTTCTTGGATTAAAAGCAAATATGTGTAACTGTGTGTGTTGTGTTGGTCGTTCCTAGGTGTATTGTAGAGACGATGAACCTGGAAGAGAGGGTGGCCGTGTTATCACGGGTCATAGAGATTCTGCAGGTTTTTCAGGAGCTCAACAACTTTAACGGTGTGCTGGAGGTGGTCAGTGCCATCAACTCTGTCCCAGTCTACAGGCTCGACCACACCTTTGAGGTCGGTAAAACTATTAAAGAAATCACTGACCAGAAAAAATTATTGCAGGTGTTTTGCAGTGTTTTTCCACAGATCTACAGTGAATTTTCATTAAAACAAAGCATTTTAATGTATTTGGGGGGAAGAGAGTTTTAGATGTTATAATTAAACAAGAATTCTTCTTATTTTATTGTAAATGTCATTATTTTAGTAGACTAAACAAAGCTTTGTAAGTAACCCTAATACAAATGACTTTGTTATGGAATATAATTTCCCAAAAGATCAAATGCAAATTACTATATTTTAAAGAATTGTTTGTACTTCTGAATGATGTTTGTTACTACATTTTACTCTGTTTGCATGAAATTTGGCTTTGATTTCAGCCTGCTAAAAAAAACTCTGCCACAACAATTATCAACTGAGAAACATCAGATGTTTGCTGTTTTGACATGCATTTTAATGCGGAGAACATAATTTATGGGATTTTTCCTCCCCCCTGCACCCACAGGCAATACCAGAGAGGAAAAAGAAAATCCTGGAAGAAGCTGTGGAACTGAGCCAGGACCATTTTAAGAAATACTTGGCTAAACTCAAGTCAATAAACCCACCCTGTGTGCCTTTCTTTGGTAAGTCGTCTACAGTGTGACCATAGAGCCACTGCAAGTGAAGTATGAAATGGATCCTATCCATTTGGACTCACCATTGTTTATTATAAAGCCAGCAAATATTAGCAGTTTCCATAATCCTACGTTCCCACCATCTAACTCATCTTCATCTTCAGGTATCTATTTAACCAACATTCTAAAGACAGAGGAAGGCAACCCAGACTTCCTCAAACGCCATGGCAAGGACCTGATCAACTTCAGCAAGAGGAGGAAAGTGGCTGAAATCACAGGAGAGATCCAGCAGTATCAGAACCAGCCCTACTGTCTGAAGGTGGAGCACGAAATCAGGGTGAGCGCTTATTCTTATCATTTTCTTACTCGTCCTTAAACACGTTTTATAGATCCTGAACTCAAAACATGTCTGTCTTTTTTTTTTTTTTTGTTGCACAGAGGTTCTTTGAGAACCTGAACCCGATGGGCAACAGGACTGAGAAGGAGTTTGCTGACTACCTGTTCAAAATGTCTCTGGATATTGAGCCACGGAACTGCAGGCAACCTCCCCGATTTGTAAGTGTTTAGACTGCAGTGTTTTGGTAGCAGTGAAGTTGTTGTTTCAGCAATGTTTGGTGCCATTGTAGTTACAGTTCTGTGCTCTGTTTTAGTTCCAGATACATATTTACTGCAGATTGGTGAAGAAAACACTGTTTGGGTCATGATTCAAAACTGCAGGACAACATATTTGTTTTTGTGGTCAATTTGAACATTTGATAGCAATGTTTTTCTATATTGTTGAGCAACTGTACTAGGCAGCTTTACCATGTGGCCACAAGGCTCCAAAATAACTGTTTCAAAAATGTTCAGACTTACATATCCTCAGTTAAACTATGAAGTGATATTGGTAAAATGAACCCATGCTCATTACTGTGAAGTAGTTCAGTAGAGTCAGTTTACCTGCAAAAACATATTTTCTTATATGTTATCTATCTATGCAAATTGTTTTGTTTTAACCTCCCTTAGATTTATGCCACATGGAGGTGGAACCAATAATAATTAAGTTTAACTCGCTTCACGTGGACAGATAAACCCCAAAACAGAATTTAATTTGGGTAAATAGGGTGACTCTACTGGATACTCCTCCATAATAAAGCCCGACATTACCACCAAATTAGGTGGCCTGTTGCCCCATATGTTTAGGTAAAACATTTGCCTTTGAGATGAGGAGACATTTTGATGCCATAGGTTTCAGTGAGTACTGGGTTCGTTGTATTGCTGATAAAATTCTCACTGTTGAATATCTGTTTCTTCTCCTGCAGCCCAGGAAGACCATGTACACTCTGAAATCCCCGGGGATCCGGCCTGTGCGAACGTCTACCTCTGGCACCCTGAAGGGCCACCCCGTCCCCCTGGAGAGGGAGCCCCCGCATAAGATCACCTTCCGGAGTATCGCAGAGACCGAGCCGGAGACGCCGGCGTCAGTCTCGGTGCCCACCTCTCCAAACACGCCGACCCCTCCACAGTCAGCCTCCTCTGACCTCAGCTCAGTCTTCATGGAGCATGACCTCAGCAGCTCCTATGGCGGTGAGTTGAGCCGTGGCTCAAATCCTGTAGAAATCCCACTATCGTTGTTAAGAAAGGCAAAGTTTTAGTTTCTTAACATCTACATAGAAGTCAGTAAATGTCTAAATTAGTTTTCTATTACACTGTTTTACAGATTGATTGTATTACGTGACTATCGGGTTGCACTTACTATTTTTATTAGTGCAAAGAATAAACTTTGAGTGTGGCTATGTGGATAATCCTATTGTTGAGTCACTAACTGCGTGCCGACAGTGTTAAATCATACCGGTCGAATGTTTTTTAATAATGAACAGCTGACAAAAGATTGATCCAGTTAAGAGTCTGAGGTCTGTATAGAGGTAGAGAAGCTGGACAAAATGATGACTTAAACACAGCCCCTGCTTTCTTGCCCTGGTTAAGAACACTAACACAAAAGGTAAAAGCACGCACCTTTCTTCATCTTCTCTCTCTCTGAATTTTACAGGTAGCAACTCCGTATTTGCTACAATTCTTCTTCCGCCTTCAAGTGAGTATGGGCTTTTTCAGTTTTAAATTCAGCACTTTTGATTGCTAACAGTCAGAGGACTTTGTGATCCACATGCTTTGATAGTGAGTGGGGCATGTTCTTTTAACTCCATGTTTTTTTTCTTCTCAGAATTTCAGTCTGTGTCGTGCGGCAGCCTCCACCAACTCGGGGAGGAGCAGCTGAAGCCGCCTCCTCTGCCACCACGAAGGAAAGACGCAATGTCTGAAGGCAAAGTAAGAGCAGGGCATCATTTCCAACCCGTTATATCCATTATAACTAATAATTAGAACACCTGAACTCATTTTGATAGGGTTGAACATGTTAACAATATTATGCAGGATATGGTAGTGTGGCCTGCAAATATGGTATTTGAAATATATCTTTAATGATCAGGTCAGGTCAAAGTGTGTATTTGTTAAACGGTCTTAACTCTAATTTGGAATAAAACCAGTTTAATAAATTCTCCTGTTCTCACAAACTCCTACATTTTTAACTCAAATATGACATCTCAGTGCATCACTCCTGCTGTGAAACTTGGAAGATTGATAGTCTGAAAGCAACAAAGACTTCATCTTCACCTTCACCTCATCATCAGTTTCATGTCTGCCAGTTTTCCCCTTGTTCATTTTTAGAGTCTCAAAGAAGTAGTGGTGTTTCGTAATTTCCAAAAATTTGAGGGATGTCGGGTTTATTTTACAACCATGTGGAGAATACATGTCTAGTAATATGTGCATCCCGTTTTGACTCATCTCCATGTGTCTCTCTCTGTCTCAGCTGAGCTCCAAGTCGGACAGCCCCCCGGCCATCCCTCCCCGGCTGCCCCCTCCTCTGCCCAGGAACCAGCCTCGACCACTGGTCTACAACGGCCCCCCCAGCGATGGCCCCCTGCCCAGCCCTCCTCCTCCGCCGCCTCGTGACCCTCTGCCCGACACGCCTCCCCCGGTGCCCCAGCGGCCCCCGGAGATCTTCATGAACTACCCCCTCAACCTGCAGCCTTCCCCTGGGGGCCGATACCACTGGGACTTTAGCTCCCCGAGCTCCCCCAACACCCCGCCCAGCACACCGTCGCCTCGCATCCCCAGGCGGAGCTGCCCGCTCAGCGCCAGCCAGAACAGCCTCTGCCCTCTCCCTGTTCCCATCACCGCTCCACCTGTGCCCCCACGCCACAACTCCAGCCCACAACTCCCCAAACTCCCACCAAAGACATACAAAAGGGAGCTGCTGCAGCCGCCGCTACAAGCCCTCTCATTGGTGGAGAACACCGACAGCAGCCAGTGAGTCGGAGTTATTTTTTTAAACGCCTAGAGGTGATCTTGAAATGCAAACTTCAAACTGTCTCCTGCAAACTAAGACACAGTGGACTCAAAGCTACTGATCAGAAAGAATTACACTGCTCCACACACTCTTAACTCCTCCTACCCGCCCTCCGCATCGACCAATCATAACCCCCCCCCCCGCTGTGCCTCTCAGGGGATCAGTAGCTCCGCCTTCATCATAAACCCTCTGTGCCAATGAGAAACCCACACCGGTGTGCCAGCTAATAAACAACAAGGAGTAGAGTGTTTGTGTCTGTTTCTTCTGTACGGAGTGGGATCGTCTGCTCCTGATAAAAGTTCTCACCCCTCACACTCTTAACTTACACTTACCCCACGTCCCACTCCTCTATCAGGGTGGGATGAATGTGGGGGGCCTTGGACTTTGTAGCCTCAACTGTCATGCTTTGTTTCTTTGGGCATTGACATCATCTGGAGTCCTGCTGCAGCTCACAGATTTTTACGACCTCTCTCCTCCTCAACGATCCACTTAGACGTAGCTCTTTCACAGTGGGTGTGAGCAGCAGACATTTCCATTGACTTGTTTTTCCTACAAACTGATAAAGAAACAGTTGCCAAAGTCTTATTTTATGCAGGGGGATAAGGGATTTTCTTTTTTTAAACAAATGTGACATTAAAAGAAACACATAAAAGAGGCGACACTGAATCCCCCACCTTGTATCTCAACTGTACACTGTGACTGTATAGACGTGAGTCAAACTGTCTGACTGTTTTTTGTCTGAAAGACAGGCCTCTCCGCAGCCACAAAATGTTGCCTTTAAAAATCCAACGCCGGTGACCTCTGACCCCAGGCTCCAGTCCTCTCGGCCTGGATGGGACAACGAGAGCCGAAAACACTCCATTTGCACATCGAGTTTGGGCAGAGTCAGCAGGTTTTCGATTAGACTAAAATATCCCTCTGCGGTGTGCGACAGAGGGAGGTCTGCCACGATATCAAACTACACCGATTCAGGACGAAGACGAGGAGAGGAAAGAGAGACCCAAGTCTTTCTCCCTCTCTCGAAACTCTTCGAAAGCTGATGTCTTAACCGATCCCCTTATAGACGTGCGCTGCTGTCTTGACACTGTGCTCTTCTTCAAAAGCCCTCATGACCAACTCTTCTTCATTGGTATTAAAACTCAGCACTATAAGCACGCAACCTCCCACCAGAGCTGGGACAGCTCCCCCCAGTGGCTGCTCGAAATACCTAGAAACCCATGAAAAAGAGGAACTTTTTAACCCAACTTCTTCTGTATCTCTCTCTTTTTCTTTTTTTCTGCTTGAAAACATTTTGTTTCACTTTGGAAAGACTGAAATAATCCATGCATCATGCTCGGATGTGCCTTTTATTTTGTTTTCTACTTTACAGAAATAAGCAAATGGTGTCTAAAATGCTAAAAAATAAAGTTGCCTATGTAATGTTTAGAACAAAGCTATACACTATGAAATTGTACATGTTTGTGGATACTGTGTATATATAACATGTATACACTAACTAAATAATTTGTATAAAGTGACAAGTTTTTTTTTTCCCTGTTGTATTGTACCCTCATCCGCATCTGTTCAGTTGAATATTGCCTAATAATCCAATGCTGCTACAGTCGGATAAAAAAAAAAAAAAAAAACAAAAACAAAACAAGAAAAAAACAGGTCACTGTCACTAACTTACTTACAGACAATCTCCAGTTGAAACACTGGGAGTATTAACTGAGGAAAGCCATTTTTTCTTCCCTGCCCCTTAGCTGTTTTAAAGCAATGGAGAAAAAAAAATACACAGTTCAATATGCCAAGCACTTACTTAGACGTGTGCTTCACTTTGTACATCCTACTAATTGCCTTTTTCTCCTTTTCAAAGATTTTTTAATGCTAACACTCATTAAACAGAGGTTGGAATTGTATTAAAGTTGCAGTTGAATATACACAGACCTATATTCAGTTGCAAGTATTTGAGCATAGTGAAGAATTGGACATTTTTCTGAGAAATACACTTTGTGCACTTTAGGCTGTACTGTTGAAGAGCCGCAGTTGTTATAGGTCTTGTTTGTAAATGCAATGGTCCTATGCAACTGTTCAACTCACTTTCTACATGGATCAGGGCAGAAAAACACGAGTCTACCACCTCCACTTTTATCCCCACGATGTTTATATAAGACTCACAAAGACCTGAGGATGTCTGACCACCACGAGCTGGATTTCAGCGACATTTAAAAATTAAAAAAAACTTACTCGTGCCCTTTTTTCTCTCCTCGCTTTGCCCTGAAAATACACAGAGCCCTCTTCCTCCTCCCCTTCCTCTCACTGTGTGTTGTGCGGATGGTGATGGATGATTAAACTAGAGGTAAAAAGGGGAGTAATGGAGGATTGACGGCTGAAGTCAAATCACTTCACTGTCTCGGCTCATGTTCTGTCCAGTTCCCAAATTTCCCAAGTCAGTATTGGTGGGGTTAATTTTGCCAAACTTTTGTTTTGTTTTGTTTATCTTTTTTTTAAACCCCAGCCCCGACAGAATAACAGATTGGTTTTCCTCCGGTGGCACTGTAACAGCTTGATCCAGCAGTCGGTTTATTTGATGGTATGTGGCCTTTTAACTGCTTTGTATTAATGGTCTTGATGAGATTAATAAATCACCCAGTCTTATTTTGTACTGAACTGCTCATTTCTCTTCTCGTTTTTTCTTTCGCTGTCAATTCAGATTTTCTCACAGTTGAAAATATTGATTTATTGATAAAGAAGTAGATTGAAGTTTAATGAAATACCCTTATTTGCTTAATGGGGGAAGTTGAGATGAGAATATGATGCCACTTTTTAATGTGTCTGTTAATTTAGGTTATACAGATACAGCTAGACGTTCGCACCGAGTTAGCTTAGTTTAAACTAGAAAAGGGGAAACCGCTGGCCTGGCTCTATCCAAGTGTAACCAAATATATCTTCCAGCACTTCCAAAGCTCACTAATTAACAGATATATACAATTTGTACCAAAAAACAGTTTTAAAAAATGATACTTAGCCGCCTCTGATTGGCTAGTACTCGTTTGGTTTAGGCATGAGGAGTGGGATTGGTTAGGGTTGGGGTAAGAAAGTCAGAGGCAGAATAGGGCGGGTCAAAACTTCACCATCCTGGGGGGAAAAAGAAATATCGTGTACCGGACTATTTCGTGGTTCTGAGTTGTTGCCGAGCAACCAGCGGAGACCGCTACTGTGCCTGACTAGAAAACGTTAGAAAGTCAAATTGCTGTTTTTACACCTTGTTTTTTATTTTTTTTTTATAAATTAGACAGACTAGATATAATGTGTTAATTTGTGAGCTTTAGATGACTATTTAACAGAGTCACTCTGGCTGTTTCCAGCCTTTGTGCTAAGCTAACCAACCAGCTGCTAACAGTAGCTATATTCAAAAGTAAAGCGTGACAACATCTTCTTGTTTAGTGTTAACTCTTCACCAGAAAATTAATGAGAATATTTTCTAGTCTAGTCCTAGTAAATTAAATGTGTTATTTAGTACCTTCCTTCCTTCAGCTATACACTAAAAATGTCTCCTCACATACCACCACCCTCTCACTTTCAGTTAGTTCAAATAAATATGGTTTTCTATAGTAAAGTGGGATTTTTAAGATGTAAATCTAGTAGGAAATGTTTCAATTTTTTTGTCTGTGTTTTGAGAAATCCGTGTTACTAATTTTCTGGACACTAAAACCCCTGAACACATCCTCTGGTTGCTGTCCCACATGTCGAAATTGTAATCCCGAAGAACTAAACAGACAAACCAAGATGTCCGCAGTGTTCATAAAAGATTCAGATTTAACAGAAGATCAAGAAAAATCCCACATCCAGTTTAAGGACCATCGATTTGTCATTAACTTTGCTGTCATGGCCTTTTGGGAAAATGGATCTTAAATAAATCACATCTTGAGCTCAGTTTGGTTGTAACTTAAAGGGTTTTGTGCAGCAGTTTTTAGAGAAAGTCCTCTTGTCTCTGGGTCAAACGGTGCTGCAGGGTCCCTCACTGTCCTCACTGTCGTCCCACAATCCTCCACTGCTCATGGCTGCCGCATGGTTACCTCGCTGCTGAGGCAGGCCTGGTCTAAAGAAATGCAACAGGTAAAAGTTTATTAACATAATTAATACAGTTTTAATATGTATATTGTATCTTCACTGATAGCCACAATGCAAGTCTGAGTTGGATATGAGTTTGTTTTCATCACCGTAGGAAATTATCACTGTAATAATTTTACCATACCTCAGGTTTTCTCTGCTCGTGTTGAAATTCTGAAAGTTTTGCCTCGCTTGAGCTTGAATCGGTATGAAGCCTTGTCTGTTGTCTTTCTCTGGAGCTGAATCAGCCTGGTACAAGAAGCGACGTGCAGAGAGCAGGTTTGAGAGTGTGTTATTGACAGGAAAACGGGATCAGCTGATTGAAGGAATGGTATTTGGAGATACAGGAGTGGATAAACAACATGGTTGTGTCAAGTCTGAGAAAATAACTCTCCTGGAGGTGTCTAGCTTGAAAGACAAGAATGTTTACAAGGCATTAGAGGGTTTAATGAAAAGATACTACCAATGCCAAGTTTATAGAGTTGCAATACTTAATGGCTGGACTCCACCTGTTATATGTTTTTTCACCTTCTATCTGACAATATTTCCTTTATATATATATATTCTCAAAAAAACAGTTAAATTTGGAGGAAAGTTTCATTATAGGCCAATTAATCAACCAGTGATTAGTTTTTGATGCAGATCCATTTTCATTATTTTCCAAAGAACTGTGAAAATCTGGTGCACAAATCCCATACCTGTCTATAACTATGTGTATTTTAAACTACAATAACATTATATAATATTTTATTTTCAAATGGTCAATCCTAGTGAAAATTGCAGTCTGTGTGTTGTACCACGAGAGGATGCCAAAGTAACATTTTCTAATAATACTAGTTTAATATTACAATTTAGAAGTCTGTGCAGCCTAAGAAGATGCATGTACCTCGTTTTACAAATGTTTTGAGCACAGTTCAGTTGGCATTAGTTCATTCTGACCCAGTATGTTTAGATAAATACCTGTTTGGATGGATCATCCCAGATGGGCCTGAAGGCACTTTTTGGATGTAAAGGAGGCGAGCCCTTCCTGACACTAACCAGCCTCTTCCCGTAGGAGCTGACGAGGCATGGCTTCGGCCCGTCCACGCACGGCCCTGCAGTGTTTCTCAGAGGAGGGTGAGGGGTCAGTCTGGGAATCTGCCACCTGAGACACACAGTCCTCTCTCTGGGTGCCTCCCTCGACTGCTGTTGGTTGTATGAGGGCTTTAACAGCACCGGCACCTGGCTGTCCTCCTCTTCATCCTCCCCACTGTTGCTGCCCATCATCTCCCTGCGGAGGGTGCCATCAGGGCTGCAGGAGGTGACAGAGGAGTAGTCGAAGGCTGAGGTGTCATCTGGGTCTGTCTCACCGTCCTCAAGGCCGTGGTTAGTGTAAGGTGCCTCCAGCTCGTTGGTGCCTTTCCCGGTGGGCTGGCTGAAGGTGCCCTGGCCGGAGTCGCTGTTCTCTCCCCACCCTGCGGTGTCTGGAGTGAGGAGGGAGCAGTAGGCGTGTCCACAGTCATGGCCTGGTTGGTTCGGGGCGGTCCAGTCTCTTTCGCAGCCCTTCCTCCTCACTGGGCTGCAGGACCAGCACTCCAGACGCATCGAGTGACAGCCGTCGACTCCGTTAGTGAGGCCGACGGCCTGCTGGTCATCTCTAGAGGGAGAGTAGAGGTTATTCTACCAGGACTCCCACATCAACTGGGAGAATGAGCAGTACCTTTACTCAGGTACTGTTTTTAAGTACAATTTTGTGGGACTCATACTACATTTGACTGACAGTTTGCAGACTCAGATCATTCAGATTAATTTTTTCCTAACTTTATTTTCTTCTTTCTGTCCTTTTCTTTTTATAGCTTCCTCCTTTCTTCCTTCTGTCATTTCATGTTAACTATTTTCTTTTATTTGTACTTTCATTTCATACCTTCTTCTTTACGTGATCTAAAATCAAAAACAACTGGAGGTTTTCTCCTCTTTTAATATAAACACTCTAGGAGCCATTTGTGTTTATTGTTGGAATTATTTTGTTTAGAATAATATATTTACTGGCAATTGTCTACTCTCACATCTGCCTCTTCAATGATGATGGATCAGAATTAATACTTCCCGTCTTAAAGCAGAGTTGCATATTGCTGCTTTCAGGATCAGCTGGCAGATAGTAGATGTTAGAGCTTCCTGTCTGCACTGTAACACTAGACTGTAACTGCATGATAAAGTATCTGTCAGCAGGTTGTATTAAAATGAATGGATACTGGCTGCCTGGTAAGTATTTAAAATTCGTGAGCTAAAACAATGCACACAAAAAAATCAGATAAGACATTTTTCCACGTAAATGTCACTGAAAATCTACTTGTCTGAGCTTGTCAACCACATTTTTGCACTCCAGGCACACCCTTGCTTGCTGTACTATCTTATGCCAACAGAGGGCGACACTCACCTCTGAGCTGCGGCGTTGGACTCGTGCTGAGACTCTCTGGTCTGTTGGCTTCGTCTGCAACAGCTTGCAGAGGATCCACCAGCCACTGCATCAGAGCAGCTATTCATGCAAAGAAAAAATATACAGTTTGTTAATAAACCGAAGACACAAATATAGACATTCACTATAAATCTGTGACAGAGTTTAAAGAAGAAAATCTATGTAAACATCTAATCTGATACAAGAGGCGTCAACCTCAGTGCTTAGACTTAAAGATGTGTGCTAATCTTTCTCATGATGCCCTGACCTTTCTCCAGCTCCTTCTCCTTCCTCCCACCGGACGTCTTCCTCCAGAATCACATGACAGCGAGACAAAATGCTCCTCAGCGCTCGCTCAGTTCCTAGCAGGAGGCTGCAGTCAGGATGCTCTTTACCCGTCCACTGCAACAAGTTCTAGAGAAGGAAAATTAAGTTATTCAGCAATGTGACACATGAATGGTTAGGCACAAATTTCACTTTAACTCCAGTTTTTGTTTAATCAGTAAACAGCCTGTTAACTTAATGTTTCTTTTATATGTAGTAGCTCTAAAAGTTTCTAAACCTACTAAAATATTAATTTTAAAAAGCTTTGTATATTTTATCACCTATTTTTCTCTCTGCTCTGAATCATGTTGTTGGGTTTTTCAGGTGTTGAGCTGTAGCTTTACTGCGGACCTGCAGTGTCACGACTTGCTTACCTGCAGCTCCACTAACTGGACTCACTGTGGCTGCTGACTCACCTGAATGTGGCTCAGGTAGCTGTGTATGCGAGAGACAGGTGCCAACAGCAGGGAGAGCAGTTTCACTTCCTCCCTCTCCATCTGGTCGCTCTGTTAAATGCAGACAGAAAATATCCTTCAGCATGTCTGGTTGTTAAAGTACATTATTAATGAACAATGTCAATGCACTTTCAATACCTGCATTTTCTGACTTTTCTCAGGATGATTTAGTCTGTTGAACTCCAGCGAGAGGAATGAAGCCAGGGTAGTTGTGTATCCAAGGTACATATCCGAGAAGGCTGTCTGGAAATCAAAGCAAATCATGAGCACCTTCAGTGTTCAGTGTAATGGGCTGAAATCAACCAAAAGGAGCACCAGCTTACGTCATTTTGGCCGATAAGCTGCACCAGGATGTCGCCGACCAGAGATTTCCAGTGTTCAGCAGATAATCGCTCCTGCAGGGTGTTTCTGAAGAGCAGATGTCGCTGTAGCAGCTGCTCCACAAACTTCTGATATGTCTGACTGGATCACGACAGAAAAGAAGAGGGATGTGATGAACGGAAATTTAAAGCAAAGCAGAAATGTTCTTATTTTATTCACCTGACCTGAGCACAGTTAGTGTTTACACATATCAAAGAGAAGAGATTTAAGTTCAGTTTTTGCAGTTATGTTGTAGAATGAATGTACAGAACAATAATTTGCTTATATTGTTTTAGACATGAAAAGCTGTTGTTTTCCCTTTGCAGCTGCAGTCCTGTGAGTTATAGTATAAACTATTTAGCACTCACTATGGCTCCGCAGTCATCTGGTGATCCTGTGGTGTCTTGTATTTATCATATAGCTGGTTTAAGGTTGACACGTATTCCCACTCAGAATGCAGAAGTTGCATTGCCACTTGATGTCGTGCATCTGCACAAAAAAGAAAATATGAAATAATCTTTCACCTGTAATGTGTATATTTCAACAAGTGATGACATTTTGTACTTAGTGTCAATTTTAAATAAAATGTTATTTGTATAGAGTCAAATCATAATCGTAGGGCACTTTTCAAATAGAGCAGGTGTAGACGGTAATCCTTTCTTAGTTTGTGACTGAGCATTAGGTTTAATGTCCAATCTGATCATCTAAATGAAGCAGAACAGAAGGAAAAAAATCTACTGCTGTAGCACTTTTGAAGAATTAACAACAAACAAATCCCCCCAATTATGTCACTTAAGGATTTTTTTTCTGGCAACTTTGATTTTTTAAACATTTTTGCAAGTTTTAAAATATTTTATTGTTTTAGAAAATGTGATAAAAGTTGGCAAGGTAGTATTCTGGTAGAAAATGTGAGACTTTTTGACACTTTGTTTTTTTTCTATAACAATAAAGACTCACCTGTGCCTTCACTCAGTCCTGCTTTGAGGCCCTGCAGGAAACAGTGGAGGAGTAGTTTCCCTCTGGACAGACAGGCTGGTGGAGCAGACGGACGCTCACACTGACTCCGCTCGCAGGCCGATTCTGCTGGATCATGGCTGCACAACAGTGGACAGATGGCAAAATGTCTCTCTGCAGGTTTTATATGTCTGTCTGTTCTAAAAAGGATTTTTACCAGCAGTTATTGCTGCCCGCTGACAAGGTGTAAACAGCTTTTTTTATGTCTGCTGAGAATAACTTAAAGATATTATATTGTATGTGTGGACTTTTATGTAAACAAACAAAAACATAAGTGAGAAGATTTTCCTCTTCTATTGTCCATTTCACACTTTGTTTGCTATTGGACAAACAAGAAAAGAGTTATAGTGGCCCCTAAGAATAAACAATGAATGTACTTCTGCATTCATTCTTTCAGTTCCTGCATTATCCTTAATATAGTATCGCTCTTATACATGTTTTACTATACAAACAAATTATTTTTATTTTTGCACTTTATTTTTTGTATGTGTTTTGTCTTGTATGTGGGGCCGAAGTAGAAGTGGGCACAAATGGAGCTAAAGTGTGATGGAAAAATCAAAAATCAAATATGTTTATCTTCTTCTGCAAAGTAAAAGAGATAACCTCCTACATCAGGCAGCAATCAGATTTAAAAGAAATATTTTTAAATTTGAGAAAGATGCTTTGTCTTGTCTCCTGAACTGTTATCTAATTTGTTTACAGTTATAATTCCAAGCTTGGTGTAATTTGTTTTACCTTTCTCTCTGTTTGGATGTGGAGCTCTTTCCATCCTGCAGAGGTCTCTGTCTGTTACTGTACAGCTGCAAGATCTGACACTGCATCACTCCAAGTTCTTCCTGTAGGATGACAAGACATTAAACAACTGAAAACATAAAATTATGAGTAAGTATCATCATTTTATACTGTGTAATATCTGTTATGGATGAATCCAGATATATTTGATTGTTAAATGTGTCTGTATTACTGTTAATGTTCCTGTTGTTAAATGTATTTTAAATTCTTATGTGAATATCAGACACTGTAACCAAACTTTTTCTCAGTAGTTGAACTAATCTCACCTTCAGTGACTCCACCAGAGCCTCCAGACGATGAGCTTTCTTCTGGCAGCTCCTCCTGTTCTCCTCCAGCTCCTCCCTCAGGTACGTGTCTCCATGTTGGATCTTACTGAGCTCCAGCAGAGCACTGGTGAAGCCCGTCTTCAGCTCTGAGACCATGCATTGTAACTGATGGGACAGCAGGTATCAAATATAGATTTATTAACAGACACAACAGCATTGACTTGTACACTTCTGGTGTTCATTGAAAGCTCAGGTAAACTGTATTTTGAACCTGGGCTGCACTCTTGGGCATCAAAGGTGGGTTTATTTTACAATCTACTGCTAATTCTTCAAATAATAAGCACTTTAAATTTAGAGTGAACTGTCTCTTTAACAAAACCAGGGCTGGCTGATGAGGGAAGGTGCAGAATACCTTTGAGATTTCAGTGACAAGCTCTGCCTCTTGAGGCTTCATGACCTGTACAGAGAGACACACAAACAAGGCTGTTTGCAAACACTCAGGCATTAATGTGCACAAAATATCACACACAAAATATCAACTATGCCACCTGTTTGATATTTATAGCTGTAAAAGGAAAAGCCAGAGTTGACTTTAGGAGATGCACAATGCAGAGAAAAGCATGTTCTCTCCTGTGTGATTCACTCTGTCCTCCAAACGCAGACCAGATAGTGTTACATTCACACAAAAGGTGCATAGCATGGAAGTCAACCTGTTGTTTTCTCTGCAAACTGAATCTTTAACCTCTGCCTAACCAATTGAACTCCAACATTGTAAGAAACAGACAAAAACTTAATATCTGCATAGAGTTTAATCCAAGGATTTATGAATTTAAGCACAGAAAATGTGAATTATGTAATGCTGTATTATTACTAACTATATATTAAAGCCTATAAATGTACAAGAATATTTGATTCTTAACCTGATTCAATGACTTTCGTGTCTATATTCTTGTTTGTTTGTGGTACCTGCTTAGATGTTGCCCCTGCCAGCAGCCCCTCTGCTAAAGGAAGTAGCAAGCCAGCCAAAGAGCTCAGCTCTGCAGGGGAAATGGCTGCAGGAGCCAAGATTCCTCCTTATAAGTCTGCTGACAGAAGGACAAGCAGGGATCAGCAAAATGAAAAATAGAATATGCAATAATATCATGTTCTAAACTGCAAATACACCATATAGAATCACCTTTAAAAATATTTATAACTGATCTCCTTAGGCACTTTTATATACATTTTCCCGAGTTAAAATATGTAGAAATCATATTTCTTTATTGTAGACAAGATTGAAAGGCAATGACGTATGATGTTAGCTACTTAAAAGCATCTTATAATACTTATAAGCATAATTATAATGTTAAAGGTGTTCAAATATCCAAAAATCCACCAAAAAACAAAACAAGAAAAAGACATATTATGCAAGCATAATTTACTAAACAAAGCCTCGGGAAACTCACCTCAGTTAAAGCTCTTTAATAATGCTTCTCCAGACATCAGAAGAGATGCAGTGAATCCGAAAACACTTAAAATCTCCAGTGTTTCCTCTTCGGTGTGAAAACTTGGATCCAGTCATTTGCGGTGTTTGAAGGCGGTAGTCCGGTGTTGCGCTGTGCGCAGCTCTGTGCGGACAGCAGATGTCCTGCATGACGCTCAGTGAGCAGCTCTGAGATTTACTGTGTTCACTGAGGCTCACTATGAACAATGCACATAACCTAATGGAAGTAGGATATTGCTTCATAAATAGAGTTATTATATTATTATGTCTGCGAAATATGTTTTATTCTACTGTTATTTTACCAACACGTGTTAAGTTTGTGTTTTTTTTTTTATTATAGCACTTAAAATGTATTTTTCCTATTTTTATTAGGTTTTTAGGTCAATATGGAAATGTGAAGTTTTGTCATTGCTAGTGTGATTTCCTACAAAACATTAGTTCAAGTGATTTTTTTATGGAGTGAAGTAATAATATAAGACGTAAGAATATAGGTAAAAAGCTATTATATTATTATACTTAATATAATTTTAGAATTTTATAGAATATAAATATAGATTTAGATATGGATAATACATACTATATGTAATATATTTAGTGTTATATGTATGTGCAGTAAATGTGATAGACACAAACATTATTATGTTTTAATATATTTTAATGTATATTTTATTGTTTCGTGCCTACAACAGGCTTTACCGATTTAATCACCTTGAATGTCATTAAATAAACATATTATATCACCAAGTTCAAGAAAAAAACATAATTATTTCTAATTTTTATAGAAAATCGAGGGATGTCACCGCTCACGTCCTTCACTCCGCCCGTGTGGCTCAGTCCGTAGCATAAATCGAGCGCACGCGTGTCTGCGTTGTTTTGACGAGGGGCGTGGTCAAGCGCCAGTACTTGAATCTGATTGGCTGCTGGGCTCAAGGAGTTTTCAAATCGAAGCAGCAGCTGACGGAGCTGTCAAAACAGTCGACCGGAGGCGAGAGGAGTGAGCGGTGAGAGGAAATAAAGCGATATAAACCTTATATTCAGACACATATATATGTATATCTGTCATATTACAGCTCTGTTATTGTTTCCTGATGATGCTCAGATAAAGGTTTCATTTAAATGTTCTCCGTTTTCGGTTGGCTGCACAGCTAACGTTAGCTCCAATCAGCAACATGATACATACACACTGCGCTTAGGAGGGTTTGTTAGTGGACATTAATGTTAATACAATGTCAAATTATATGTTGTTTTCATCGGAATCTGAATGTCTTAGCGTTAATGGAGAAAATGTTCGCCAGTAGTCAGACTGTAGCATGTTTAATTCATGGTTTAAAGGTTGGTGTGTAGCCTTTAGCTACTTGCTGACACGTTAATTTATTTAAAGGACCATACCCAGCATTATTTTAACATGTTGTAGTCGATAGTGCAATAGTGTATGATGTTATGCAGTAAAGGGCAACAGCACAAACCCTTACACATTATGATTGTGTCAAAAACAGAATTCCTGAATCAAATATTAACTTTTTTGTGAACTAAACAAAAGAAAATGCCATTATCTCAGAGTTAAAACAGCATCTTGCTCACAGTTTCAACAGAAACTCAACATTATAAGCTTCTTAATGGTAGTATTTATAAGTGGCCTGTTTATTGTGGTGCAATATATTCTAAAAGTTTTGTATTTTGCACTTTACATCAGTGGTTCCCAAGCTTTTACCTTAAGGGACCCATTTTCTATCACTGAGAAAACAGACATAGTTTATGCATTTTCATATTGTATTCAATGAATAACAATAACAGCACAGAACAGCTGATAAACTGTACAATGAACACAAATACTGAACACAATAAGTGCAGTATGTTGTTGTAAAACAAGTGATTTGGATCAATTATGAGCAGATTATTTCCGGTGACCATCAGAGATCGGTTTTCCTGGTATTTTTAGTAACTTCTATCACAATTCTCTGTCTGTATTTTGAGACAATCATTCACACTGAATTAGCTTCTTTTCCCCTATTCTTCTATTAGCTCATTGTTGTTTTAACTATGTACTTTTCTAATGCCGGACGAGGCTATCTTCAAAGTTGAGATCTTGAATAATAATCTAAACTTTAAAAATAACAAATCAAGAAGTCCTTGTGACCCTCCGTTAAGCTTTGGTGACCCCCAGGTTGGGACCCACTGCTTTACATCACTGCCCATATTTTCCAAAGTATGCCTTAGTTTTGGGGGGCTTTGAGTGGGTTTAGGTAAAATTAAAATCAACTTGCAGAGACCACAACAGATATTAGGTAACATTTTTTAAAATATAATAAAATTCAAAAGTATTTATGATAATTTGGAATACTGTCAGAATTAATAAAAGTGAATTGTAATTGAAATAGACTAAAAATAACTTTACAGGGTCTTTCAGTACTCTCAGTACTGAATTTTGGTGTCCTCCCTACTGTCTCAACAGTCTGACGCCATGAGGACGAGTGAGTTTGACTCCTCATCTGAAGAGGAGGAGATCGGAGAGGAACAGCTGACACCCTTCCACATCTCCTGGTGAGTTTTTACTTTTGTCTTGGGCTACAAAAAAAAGTGTGAGATTTCTGTCAGGGTGATGTAATAAATGTTTACTCTGAAGAGTCTGTGTTATTTTTATTTTTTATTGATTTTATTGTTTTATTTTATTATATTGTGATTGGCTTTAAGGTTACCTCTGTCCATAGTGGAGTGCTCACAGTTTCTCGGGATATGTGCACTACCAGGTAAAGTCATAATTTATTATCTTGTATATCTCTGCATATTACTGTTTTTACCCCTTATTGTAATTTTTTGTGCAACTGATAATAAAAATGTGTTTTTCTTCATCTGACTTCAGGTTGCAAATACAAAGATATCCGCAGGAGTCTGGAAAGAGATGTTGGTAAGATGACCTTGATCCTTACTGGTGGTTGAGTGAAATAGTCGGGAACCGACCATATTAACCTCCACAAGGAGATCTTATTTGACCCGTTTTTAAATACCATTAGATTTGGGAGGATGTTGTTTTTAGAGACTCTTACACTGTAAAGTTAATTCAGCAAACTTTTCTCTGTTTCCCAACATAATGTAAATTGTGGCTGTATAAGTTTGTCCACTGATCTGTTAGTTGTCATTTTTCGAATTCACATGATTTCCCTTGAATGTTACTTGTATTGATTTTTTAATGTTCTGTTCTTTTCACTAACTTCATTAATTTTTTATAATCTGCATTAGGGTTAAACCAAGAATTATCAACATTATCAATTAATTTGATGATTATTTTCTCTTAAATACTCACCATTTGGTCCATAAAATGGCAGAAATCAACAAATCACTTGTTTTATCTAAACAAAACTTTTCTCTTTTCTCTTTTTCTCTTTCCATAAGTGGAAAACAGTCAGCACATCATCACATTTAAGAAGCTAAAACCAGAGATTGTTCATAATTTTTGCTTAAAAATTGACGCTGATTAATTTACTGTCAATCGACTAACTTGTTTCAGCTTTAATGTGGATATTGAAGAGTGGTTTATGAATGAGTGTAATAATAGCCTTATTCCAGACCTCAAAATCACTTCAGATTCTTTCAGAGAAAATCAATGAAACAAAAAGGAATATATTATCAGTCTGGTGTGATTATCCAAAGGCCAATTTAACACTTTTATGTATTTGTGAAAATACATGATTGGCAGAAAGTGAGCCTCCTGCTTTTAAAGAAGATTATATTTTGTATTCACTGCAGTTACAGTGAAATTAAGTTTAATTCTAGTAATATAAACACTGATACAACCCATACATGTAACATATTCCTGTACTCCTAAAGTGATTGTGTTTTAGTGTAATGAGAGAAAAAGTCTCTAACTTTTAAAGAAATAAACTTGATTTCAGCTGTTTGTAAGTTTAGTTGTTTTCTTTGTCGTTAACAGAGGAGCTCCAGAACCAGGGCGTGCAGGAAGTGTTTGTTTTCTGCACCAGAGGAGAACTTAACAAGTACAGGGTTCCCTCCCTGCTGGACGTCTACCAGCAGCGAGGCTTCACAGTTCACCACATGCCCTTTCCAGACGGAGACGCTCCCGAGCTGACGCAGTGCTGCCAGATCCTCGAGGAGCTGCAGGTCAGCCTCGAGAACAACAGGAGGACTGTGATCCAGTGAGTGAACTGATGCTTATTACTGAGATCCAGAATCAAAGTGCACATATAATTAATTATAAAGAGTATTTTACATTTCCCAGTTTATCATCCTCTTTGTTCTGGATAGAAATGGAACAGAAAATGGCTTCAAACTTTGAAACACTCTCAGTGTTTGATTTATTTTATCTGGCAGTCTAAGCTGCTGTCAAGAGGATATAGTGAAGAGTAAAGCAGTTTAATAAAGACACTGCTGATACTTAATGTTCCCCAGACACTCTATACATGTTAATACCACTAAAATCAGTTGACTACTGACGATGAATCTTCTTTTGTTGTTTAATATATAGTATTTTCATATAGTGGAGCACATTTATACATAAATACATAGATTAAACAACTGAACAGAAGGTAAGCCTTCTGTTTCTCTTCCTAAAATATTAAACATCCCTCATTCCAAAGATGCAAAAGAGGGTTTAAATAACAAACAAACTGTGTGAGAAGATGAAGTAGAGATAATAAAGAGTGTTTACATGACAAATTATCATTAATATATAACAATGTATTGCTGCCACCATAGGTTCAAATATTTGTTTAATTTCTCTTTAGATTTTGAGAACTTTCTTGTTTTAATGAGATAAGGCAGTATGTTAATATAATAAGAAATGTTTCTCTTTTTGAGGAGAAAAAATTAGTTTGTGTAATTACATCTAAAACATAAAATTAAAAGAAAGGTTTAGAAAGGAGTAATGATGAGAAGTAGTAACATCAAAAATATCTGCTAAGTTTCTCGTTAAAATGTGAACAAGATTCTTTTTTATGTTTTAACAAACTGAGCAAATATTTTGTGCCATGGTGGCAGTACTCTGTCAGAGGATTATGAAATTAAAGGAAACTTTTTTTTATTCTAATTATTACTGAAGTAAAATGCTCCACGTAAACCGAGCTACTGCCAACAGCAGTAAAAGGTCACTAGGACATGTAAAATCTATTGAAAGGGCCCCGAGAGGCTCTTGAATCCCCAAGTGAGCTGATGAAGCTGCTCACCAGGCAACAAGGAGAAACTGGTTGGACTCACTTAATGTATGAATGTGAATGTGAAGCAGGGTATTTCTAACCAAGCATGCAAACTTAAAAACTATCCCCCGGACGAGTAAAGATTAAAAATAGACATGGATACAGCCATACTTTCTGTGACGAACACATCCTTTTGTGTTTTTAGTATCTGAAGTATTTTTAAACCTTTGAAGTGCCAGACAGCCCTAGAGAACCAGAGTACATCTCACCACAAAGACATCTATTTTCTGTCACGCCTCGGGACACCTCTTATTACACAACTTAACAATTTGCTTCCAGCTTTCAGCAATTGATGGGATTTTTGACTTTTTTTCCCTTCCTCCTTCAGCTGTTACGGAGGCCTCGGACGCTCTGGATTAAGTAAGAATATTTTACCATTTGTTCCATAGATCAATGTGTTTACCTATTATATTTGATTTTCTAACAAGGTAATTTCATCTTTTATAAAAGTTTGACCTCTCTGATCAGTTGACTTCACTGCTCTGGCCGTCTCATGTTTTCTTCTGTTCAGTCGCCGCCTGTCTGCTGCTTCAGCTCTCTGTTACAATGACGGCAAACAAAGCCATCGAAATCCTCCGGGAGCACAGAGGAGGAGGAGCGATACAAACGGTGAAGGTGAGAGGTTACATCTCTTCCTCTCTGAATCTCTTGAGCCTGATTTATCAAATTATATTAGCCTATGACAGATATATCTGTACATGCCAGCCAGTAAAGTTTAATACAGAAATGAGAAAGGTATGTTTGTGATCATTTAGAAATGGTGTCCCTATAAGTTTGTCCACCAGAGAGTGCTAATATGTTTGTTTGGTTTGTTTTTTTTAACTATAAAATGTTCCTTCTCTACATCACTCAGTTACAGTTCTTTATTAACCTAATTTAATGTGACCTTTTGTTATAAATAATAATAAAGTGAAAAACTAATATTCCTTTAAAAATTTGCTGTTAGTGTTAGTTTGAGAAATCCAGTATTGGTCAGGCTCTGTTGTGAATGTGGAAGTTTCTTGCATTAGAAAAGGGCCCTTACAGGTATAACCTAATCCGTTTAAAACATTTTGCTGCTTGTTCTCTGTGAATTATTGCTCTGCTGTTGCTTTTTGCTCTAATATTTCATTAACAAATATGTTAACTAACAACTTAATTTTATTTTCCCGTAGCAATACAACTTCCTCCATGAGTTTCGGGAACGGTACGCAGCTTACCAAGAGAGCAGAGAGGCGTCTACAGAGCGCTCGGTGTCTCGGTGATCGCTGCTCTTCTCTTCAAATCATGAGCTGTGAAAATATTGATCTCTGCAAACTGTTATTTGTTAGTGATTCTCTCCTGAGTGTGTGATATAATTGTATTCTCTGATGATTGCACTTTAACAGAATACTCTAATATATTGCTTTTTTTCACCCTCATTGTAATCAAATTAAAGACTTGATGAGGAAATCCTGCTGGAGCGTTATTAGTGAGTTTAGAATATGTTGTTTGAATTCATATCACAATTAAAATAATATTGAGGATGTTAACTAAAAAAAGGTCTCCAGTGTATCTGTACTCTATCCTGAATAGTATATTTGAATAGATGGATAAACTGAACAATAGTAACGATATATCCAATTCATGATGGGGGAAACCCATCAACATCTTGCCATGTAGGATATTGTGCATCTCAACATCTTCTGCATTGAGGGGGGAAACCTACAGATCATCCCACTTCCTGACAAACGGACCATGCTGTGAGCACTAGCAATGTTGATGCAGCAGCCTGCCTCAGGTTGACAGAGTACGAACTGGTGCGGGGTTCAGGGGGGCAGATGGAGGCACCACATGGAAGCCATGCATTCAAAAGAGAGCAGAGGGCGGACGGGTGGGGTGGGGGGCAACCAACAGCCCACAGATGGAAAGGTGAGGGGCGTGTAGGAAGAGGAAGGTGCAGGAAGGGAGGGAGGGAGGGTGGGGGGGCTATAATGTGTGGAAATCCTGCACTGTGCTGCCAAATACAAAACAACTGATCACAGCACAAAAAAAGTGCCAACTGAGCTGAGCGTTCCACACGCAAAAAGACTGGCCGTGGTCAAAACTGCAGATAGTACTGTAGACAGCATCATGGATTAGAGACTCTGTACTTTTAACTAAAATAACTCCTCCTACCTCTGAAATCACTAACCAATCAGTGGGCACAAATATTGCTGAGCTGGTGTGTATTGGGACTCTTCAGCCATCTGTTTCTAAACCACAGGTGATGTAGGTTAGAGCCAACACAGCTCATACACAGTAGCTTAATGGTGCTAATTGCTGCCTCCCACCTCAGAGAAAAGTAAAATGTGATAATGTATTAATGAAGTGTAATTTAAAGCCAAAAGATAGATTTTTTTTAACAAAAAATAAAAATATATATTGTTTGAAGCATTATTTTCAGCATGAAGAACAGCAACTGATCAGACTGTCATTATTACGATGATGAAAAATGAAATCTCTTACTGTATGTATTTGATAGAGCAGGTAGTTGCCTTTCAGAGTCCCACAGGAAATTCAAAAAGAACAATGATGCACTCAGCTATTGTGAGAGCAAGAAAAAACAATATTACATAACATTTTCAGAAACTCGTCTGCTGTTGTGCTTGGAGAACTGATCTGTGAAAAACTGAAGAGTTGATCTCGCTGGAGAGATGAAGTGCAGTTTCCCAGCATTCCATGGGAGCCGGTTGAACTTGGAGAAACACATTGAAGTCACTGGTAGAGGAAGCATAACGTGTCCATTCTGTGCAGCTGTTTGTATCAACACCGTAGAAGATCATATTCCTGACAAACACAATGTCCCTTTTCATCGCCTAATGGGATTCAAGGATGGCACTATAGAAACACAGGTGAACTTGTCATCAATATCTGCATGACCTTAGTTGCAAGTGATGAATGTTTCTACCCCTGTTATGATTCAAAGGAGACTACTCCTTTTAAACAGTATCAAAAGCCTGGAGAGATGTATGCTACATGGAAGATTACTCCTGATGAGTCTAAGTTGAGCTACTGGAAATGGTTTGTATGTCGATTTCAAAAGCAACTTAAATATTACTATAAATTAAAATTCCATGGCAGAGGAGAAATTCCCAGTGAATGGAGAAACCATTCAAACCAACAAGAAGCTATGGAAAGTCTGGATTTAATGTACATTTCCAGACTGAGCCAGAAACAACCAAACCAGACTTTATTGAAGGAGTAATATTGAGGATTAAGCCTTTCCAAAATCAGTGAACCTGCATCTATTTATATCTGATCACTACATATTTTAATTGTATTATATAGAAAGAATGAGTTGCAGTGCAACATTTAGGTTTTCTGAAAATGTCCTCAAGCACTATGGAGGCCACTGAACTCAAAAACATGAAAGGTTGTATTTACAGCCACTCTGTCTGTTCTGGTCTAATGCAGAAACATGGCAGTTCAACGTGGCGGACTCCATGTAAGTTAACCTATGTGTTTGTAGATAAAAATTTTAAAAAAGATAACAAAAACACATGATTTCTATATTCAACTGATTATACACTAATGAAAATATACCTATGAACATTATATTGCATTTCTGCCAATAGATCCTCCTAAATGTTACATACTGGACCTTAGAGCAATGAGAGTAAGAGGATGACATCTCAACCCAAAAAGTGTTAAGAATATGCATAATGTAAGCATGAAAATATTACTTTGCCCTGTTGGTAATCCATTCTCCCGATCTCTCTCCCTCCTGTCTCCAGCAGGGTACCAGGGACTGAAGGATGGAAGCCCTGCATGAGCCTGCTGGAATTTGCTTGAGGTTAAATACAGGATTTGGGTTAGGCTCAGGGGGGCTGAGAGCTAGCGCTGGACATTGAGAGTGCACTGGAGGTATCTTGTTAATTTTCAAGTCAATGCAATATGCTTCCGTACCTTCGTATCAGGTGAGCAATCCTACATAATAAATAGTTTACACTTTAGAGTAGGGGGTTGCAAAAAGCTTTTTAAATAACTTGTATACATATACATAATTTGTAACAGGTATGTAAGAACTATGATGACACCGATCAGCCATAACATTATGACCACTGACAGGTGAAGTCCATAACAAATTATCTTGTTATCATGGCACCTGTCAGTGGGTGGGCTATATTAGTAGGTTAGTAATGTTAATGAACATTTTGTCCTGTAGTTGATGTGTTAGAAGCAGGAAAAATGGGCAGCGTGAGGATTTGAGCAACTTTATCAAGGGCCAAATTGTAATGGCTAGACGACTGGGTCAGAGGGATGTTCCCGGTCGGCAGTAGTCAGTACCTATCGAAAGTGGCCCAAGGGAGGAAAAGAGGTAAACCGGAGACAGAGTCATTGGTGGCCAAGGCTCAGTGATGCATGTGGGGAGCGAAGGCTGCCCCGTGTGGTCCGATCTAACAGACGAGCTACTGTAGCTCAAACTGCTGAAAGTGAAATTTAAACTATACACTTGAACACATGGAATTTCATAATGCAAGCTTTGATTGATTTCAATTTGGTGTGGAAGTGGGAAGGGGTTTCCTCTATATGTCCGAAAAAAACAGAATGTGAATATCTTGATGCATTGAGGAAATACAGTACTACAAACAGAGAAGTACAATAGGCGAAAATATAAAATTTAAGGATCTATGAAGAATGTTTTCATTTACTTTACTGTAGCTTTGGCTGGGATTGTCCCAGAAACAACAACCAGGGTGCCTTCTCACTAGAGTATTAAGGTAGTTATAATGTGCTGTGCAACCCAGGACTTGTGTCTAACACATTATAATTTTTTAATACTTTATAATTGATGATAACAAAAATGCATAAAGAGTTTTATAAAGCCTTAGGAAATGTTGAACCTTTGGTTGTTGCCATAAAGTCGTCATCATGATGGCTCAGGTCACCTGGTGATTAAACAAAAAAATTAAAGTTGAATGACTGCAAACAAGTGTATCACACAAACCATCAGAACAAACGTTTGTTCTGTAAAATATATGATGACAGAGGTGCATCGTTTTCTTCGTGCATGGTATATAATATTATCATAGTTCAACTGTGACTTTCACTTGCTCTGTTCAAGGAACAAGAAAAGCCTTACCACATCACATTAATTGCTGCTAGATACATTGCTAAATTAGAACTGCATTTATGCGAATAAATACTAGGTTTTCCCTCTTACTCGCCTCAACTTGGTCTTGAATCCCTTGAAATAAAGCTTGAAAAAATTAAATGAATAAAACTAAAATAGAAAAAGCACCACCATACTGCAAACAAAGAGAGTGCAGTGTTTATATTAAACATTTACTTAATTTTATATTGTAAATATTTAATGATCTTTTTAAAATATGGTCTTAAACCAGACTATATGTTGCCCAAAATCCTGGTCTAGTTAAAATGACATCTATTATTATAGAGACTACGTTTTGTTGCAAGTCTTCAGTGTTGTCAGTGGTTTGTGCTCATTTTGTGATGTTATGCTGAGCTGAGAAACTCTGCATGCACATTACTCTTAATTACAAAAAGAAAAGTGAAAGTATAACTGCCCTGATTTCCCCTAAACCATGTGACTTTAAGGAAAGCCTTTCTCTCTATATATGTATGTGGGGACAGGAAGTATTTCTGAGAAGACCGTTACATCTACACAGACAACGCAGAGCTAAGGAAACGCGTAACAAAAGGTGAGTTTATGTAACACTACAGTGCTTTCGTGTATAGACTTAAAGTACAGAATGTAAATAAATATAGGAAACATGAAGATTTTATTTAACACGACTTCACTTGAAAGAATTTCTAGAAATCTCTGTCTAGCGCTACGTAGACGCGCATAATAATTATAATGTTATAAACAGAGTGTGGCGCCTAGTGTTATTACATTTTGCTGTCGTTTATGGCCACACCTCTCCTCTGCAGGGCAGAGAGCAGGACTCAGCTCCCTAATAATGAATAATGCTGTGTACATGTGGTCCAAGGGTTTATTGTCTTTATTCTTGAAATGTAATATTATTTCTGACACCTGGACTTTATTCTCCAAATGCAAAATTATAAAAAAATATCTTCTCTCTTTCTGTCTCTCTCTCTCTCTCTCTCTCTCTCTCTCTCTCTCTCTCTCTCTCTCATATTAATGTGCATTTGCAGTGATTGTTGTATTTGACTGAATGACTTTTTCTTACAACTGTGTAAAGATGACAAAGGTCTTTTAAACATTTTAAAATTATATTTCATAAACTAAGATGGGTAGCAAACCAAATATGTTGTATGCTAATCCTATATATATATATATTTCTTACATGGCAGATGAGATGCAGGAGAGTGCAGCCAAAGCCCAGGTAAAGGCAAATATTTTTACCTACATTAGTTATTATCTTACAGCATTTTTGTGTAATTTAACAGTCTTCCTTTTTTTGATTCAACTTTAGTGTAATTGTCATTACACAAGTACAAGTACTAGACAACAACATTGAGTTAAGCATCTAACCAGCAGTGCGAAGCAGTAAAGTCTGTCTGATAAATGCTTGTTCATGGTTTTCTTCTACAGACCACACAGACTTACTGATCTGCCTCATCTTGAAATGCAGAAGATGCATTCAATATACTTTACATAATGGAAACTTATGTAAAGCATTTTATGTAAAATAAAAAGAAACATAGTCTCTGTAATAAAACAGAGAGAAAAAGCCTGACTGACTGAATGCTCAAGTAGCCTAAAAATACATATTTTGGCTACTAACCACTGCTCTCAAGGAGTTACTTGTCCTTTGCAAAAACAGTTGTACATTTGCCTTAAAAGTGAGCAGTGGAGGTTAATATGTTACTCAGAAAAATTGTTTTGTTGCCTTATTATCTATCTATCTATCTATCTATCTATCTATCTATCTATCTATCTATCTATCTATCTATCTATCTCCCGTTTGACATTGGATGAACCCGTTAAGAGTGAATTTTTTTCTTCTTTTTACTTTGATACAGTCTCACTTGCATTTGGTGATATAAATTCCTTTACAGTGCTCTCATTTTATATGCTATTAATGTAACACTGTTGTTCATCTTCAATATACATTTATATTTATGCGGTTTCCTTGGTTTTGGGTTTGCAATCATAATCTCAGTCGTTCTAACCTGGAGAACTAATTCCAAAATAAAATTACCTGTTCTCTCAGTTTAATCTAGGGAATGAAACTGGTGAAGCTCAACACTCAGAGAAGAATGATGCAAGCACTGGAGGAGAGTCTGAAATCAAGTCTGTACCATCTGCAACCAGTGAGAAAGGTAATAGTTTAATCAAGAATGGATAGTACAGTAACATGTCAGTGCATTTCTACAAACTCTGTACATTGCGTTGTTTTAGTCATTACTGCACTTAACATATTGATGTTACTCTCTGTTTCAGTGATGCCGAAACTGACACTTGTGTTGATTGGTGACACAAATTCCACTGAGATTGGATCAAAAAACCTCTTAATTGACCATGACGAGCAAACAAATATTGAACAGTTTTCATCCAAACTGTATGATTTATGTGGTCGACACTTCTATGTCATTAACATGCTTGGTCTACAAAATATTGACAAATTCCCATTTAATCAGGGAATTCATGCCTTTCTCTTACTGTTACCAAATGGTCAGCATAACAGCCAGTACAGTTCAGGAGTGCAGTGGTTAGAAAAAGCCTTTGGGAAAGGATCAGTTGCTTATTTAATGACAGTTGTGACTCATGCGTCAGATGAAAAATGTGAAAGTGCATTGACAGACCTGAAAGCCAACAGCAGTTTTGATGAAAAAAGATATCAAACATGTACAAAAGGTATGATGGATGAAAAAGAGATAATCGCTCTGTTGGAAAAAATAGATGTCATGGTCTCTGAAAATGATCCACACTGCTACACTGGACTGATGTGTAATAAAAATAAAGAGCAGGAAGAACATCTAGACCACAAATCCCACGAAGAAGAGAGGATTGATTCCTCTGTGTTTCAGCAAAATCAAACAGGTGAGATTTTAATGTTGGCATTCAAAGATGACACTATGACTGTTGATACACAAGATAATGTGGAGAGAACAGAGCTTCCTAGTGAGTTTCAGCTCAGCTGTTCTCACAGTGTGGTTTTCTGCAGCACAAGGCAGCTGTTTTCAGAAAAAAAGCTCTAAGAACCCACTGTACACTTCCTGCTCAACACCAAACAACACAGTTAGTGATTGGCTGTTGAACATAGTGGACAATTTAACAGCTAAAGAGCCAGATATTTCCCTCCGAAGTAGTCTTTCTACCAGCTGCCTGGTCCACGTGCAGTAATTGTGGAAGTAATTTTGATCACAGAGGCAACGCAAAGCATCACTGGATCATTTGAAAATACAAGAAATTAATTTACTGTTGTGTGAAAAAGAACTACAGATTTGTAAAACAAATCTGAGAATCACAATTAGCATTTGCCAACGAAACTGAGGAAAACTGTAAAGCATCAGTGTTTTTTTCTGACCTGCCAGGGGCGATATTGTGTCCCTAATAATGCCCCCCTGGAAAAAAAGACATTGAACAGATTTTGCACAAATTTGCTAAATGTAATGAACATAGGATGGTTAGCTAATACAACTGCACAATCTGCTTTTTCTTAAATTATCTTGCAGTAGAAGAGATGGAGGAGAATGCAATGGAAATCAAGGTAAAGGTAAGATCTTTTAAAAAACCTTCATGAATGATCATTACATAGAGAGGCATTTATTTTCTAAAACTACCTGTAGTAGTCAAGGATCAAAAACCAATCTGCATGTTGCTGTATAGAATAGATACATTCGGTTATAATAATTTCTATTTCTTTCCCTTATATGTATCATATTCACTTTTCTCAATAAACCACAGTTACCATTAACTATATAAACAAACTGTTCAAATCACACTACAACTACAACTGTACTCATATAAGTCTGTATGACTAGAGACAATTGTTTTCATTGGCAAAGCTAAATGATGGTATAAACTTAAACAATAGCATTTCCGCATTTCTTTCCTTCAGATAAATAATATTACATAAAGGGTTAATGCATCTTAAAACAGACAATGAACTGTAGGCTTTTCCCTTTCATAAACATAAAATGAATAAATTAATGTCCATTAGTAGCCAACTTCAGTAAACACACACTCAGGACACATTTAGCTGAATGCTCTGTGATGACACATAATGAGCCAACTGCAATATATAAACCTTTCACAATACTCTCACATCACTCGTTTTTTCTTTCATGTGATATCTTTCTTTTTTCAAAAAAAAAAATTGAACAGTGTAAATCAAACCAAAAAGAAGTTACATGAAATCAGTCTACAAATACATGTTCAATGATTTCCCCCTCACAAATGCAAAAAGTCTATCTGTTGGTTACAGTTGGGAAGAAGCTTTCAGTAGTACCTGTGTACAATGTTCAATAAACAGTCTTTGATTCTGTTTGGAATTATATATAATATATATTATTTCTGTTTAAATATAACCATCTATGGATGCCTGGTTAGCTCACATGGTAGAGCTGGCGGAGTCCTTGCTGCTGCGTGTCATCCCCTCTCTCTCTACCCCCCTTTCCTGTCTATCTTCAGCTGTCACTATCAATTAAAGGCAATAAAAGACCAAACTTTTTTATTTTTTAAAATAAATATAACCTTCTATATCTATACATAGGAGTAGCAATATGCTCAAACTGATTTCTAATAAAAGCATGAGTGCACATTCTATCAGATGTAGAGATCCCATTAATAGTAGGGGGACATTTAAAATAGTACATCAAGGTGTATGCTTTATGTTATAGACACTTTACTATTAGGTATTGACTTGTCACACTTCCGATGAGAAATGTGAATATTATATTTGTCCAAGAAAATCTCTCAGTTATACAATTCCCCATTTACATTCAAAAGTTAGTTTACCGTATTTATTCTTCACACCTAAGATCTCTTGACTCATGTAACAATAGCGTCAGCTATGATCTATGGTGTAAGATGTTTTGGTTGGGCTTACAAATTTCTGGACTAACCTGTAATAGCTATAAATTATGTAAATCTAGGGTCTTCCAGTGATTGAACCTACAGATGTTAAAGACTCGGAAAGGAACGAAGACAACACAGGAGGAGAGTCTGAAAACAAGTCTGTGCCATCTGCAACCAAGGAGAAAGGTAACGTTTTAATGAAGAATGGAATTTTTTTTACATTTTGAGTAGAGGAGATGAATCACGTGGGACAGTGAATGCACACATCATATTGGCAAATACCTCTTTGTTAAAATGTTCGTAATGCCCATGTATAAAATGGACTTAAAAACATAATGTATGTTTATAGTTTTAAGCACTCATAAATATTCACAATGCTTTATAACAACAATCACAACACATTATAAAGCATTTCATAATGACTTATAAGGGCAAGTATCATAATACTTCATAATTGCTGATCACCCAATGGCATTTATTTGCCAGAATGATAGTGTGTTATTATTCTCATAGTAATACATTATAATCATTTTATAAGGCATTTATTTATGATTATAATATCTTACAATTATGTTTTTTGGGGGAAAGAAATGTCCATCAAAATAATTAGAAAGTTAGTACTCAATTTCTCTTATGACCCAATAAACAAATAAATAACATTAACAACATCCTGTGTCTTGTTGTTGCATAAATGTAAGCATATAGTATTCTCCCTACTGTTGCCTTGCCCCCTGTGTTCTTTTTGCCATACCATGTTACTTTGCGATTTCTCCATCCCAGGTCATCAAATACCGACGCTTTGTCCCGCTCCCGCTCCGTTTCATAAAGATGCACAAGGCACCCTTTAGCATTTGTTTCAACTAATATCTGATGTTTGATGGCTTTGACCCTTCAGCAGGAGAGGCTGATGAAGTTAAAGAGGTCAGCAATGAAAGCAGCAGTAACATGACTGAGCAGTCTGTGGAGGAGAGTGGTGCAGTGAAGGACGCTGGTCCAACATCTCAGACTGTTTCAACGGTGACCAAAGAATGTGAGAAATACTCTTCCTTTTATTGTTGTATTGCATTTTGTTGTAATGCATATTGTTGAACAATTAACTTTTTGAATACACATTTATGCAAATAAATCTTCTTCACCTGGAATAGTTCACTGACCAAAAACTATTTATTTTATGTTTGATCCTGCAATCTGCTTGTTGTTACATTATCCTGCAGTGGACAAGCTGGATGAGAACACAGAAAAAACAGAGGTCAAGGTAAGATCATTCGGTCCTCAGTTTTCATTGTCACACAGAAGCTTCAATTCAGCTAGCTCTCTTCCTCTCAGCAAATTAAAACAATGCATTAGAGACCTACAAAGTGCTGTGCCTTTTGGGGGTGTGGCTTCAACACTGACTAGAGTGATTGACAGACTGTCCATAGCAGGGTTGCAGGAACAGCGAGCTGGTAGTCAGGGCTAATGAGGAGCTGCTCTCAGTCTCTCTGTGTGCGCAGTAGAAACACAGAGAGTCTGCTGGAGCTTTTACAGTCATTAAAAGGACAACTATGGCTGTTTGTAAATGTACAACGGTATCTTTGTTGTAGCTTTAACTGTCTGGTATGTCTGTCTGTGGGGACTGCTAGTGTGTGAGATCAAGGTAAAGATTGCAGTCCGGTGGCTCTACTGCAGTCCAAACCATTGCAAAAAAATACAAATATTAAGTAGACAAGCACAAACTAGCATAAATGCCTGTGAAATGTTTGCGTCTCGATCAGTATACATTTAAAAATGAATGCAGTGGTTTCACAGACTCTTTCTTTCACAGAGGTGGGCTGCCCTCCGATTAGAGGTCGTTAACGCTCTTTTTTTTAATATGTATATATGTCATGATATAAAGTAGTCCCAAAAAGAAACAGTCAACTCGATCAGCATTGGCCTTACAATGTTCAGGGTAAATTGTTTCATCACAGTATAGTCATATGATTTAGTCTACAGTGTCATAACCCGGCTCCTAGGCCATGACACAATAGATGGGAAGAAATTTGTGAATTTATTATAGTAACTTAAACAACTGAGGTAATAAATACAAATGTGAAGTGTGTCAGTCAGTAACATCAGTAATGTAAATGTGGATGTGTGAGCAATATGATGTGTAAATGTAGTCAAGTGAAAACAAAGCAAAAATCAAACAAAAGCGGGGGAACGTGCTTCTGCTGGCGGGGATGCAGCCAAATGAGAGAGACCAGAGCAAAGCTGGGACAGGGTTTTTATCCTTTAGGAGCGCCTGACCCAGGTGCTCCAAATCCATACGCTGCTGATGGTACACACAGAAAAAACAATAACTGGTCCACCACATCAGCACATCAACATGTTAGACAGGGACCGTCACAACAGCTCAAAAACAGGGTGGAGTACCACTTCAATGCTACATACGTTTTATAGCGTTCATCTGCCTTTTGAGTTTAGACTTGGACAGAGTTTGACTCCATGAACCTCTTGGTTGGACACATGGATGAGTTGAAAACATTTTTGCAGAATACTTTACTTTCTTCTTTCTCAAGTATTTTTTCTTGCTTTTATTTTTGGTGTTGTTGTATTCTGAACTCTCTCAATAGTTTCTTAATTTAAATAAGTATAATGTAGTGGGCTAAACAATTTGTTCTTTTCTCAGTGTAATCCATTTATTGAACTTGAAGATGTTGAACACACAGAAAAGACAGTAGGAGGAGAATTGGAAATCAAGTCAGACCCATCTACAACCAACGAGAAAAGTAACATTTTAATGAATTATGTAATTGCACAATAACACAAAACAGTCAAATTTATAATTTATGCTTATAACATTCAAAATTGCAGAAGAACAAAATAAAAATGTATTGGTTCAATAGCAGATTGCGTTCTTATAATGAAATCATTATCCTACTGCAGGAACCCTAAATATGGAAATGAGTGGAAAGATGGATAAGGTAAGAGACTCGAAATTTAATTCTTAAGACCTTTAGGAATATTTACTCTATATCATATTATATGTCATTGTCATATTTTAAATACAATAAATATTTACTTACAGCAGTCAGTGAAGATTTCAGAAGAAATCAACATAAAGAAACAAAGAGAAACTGAAACACTCCTTTGCAGACTTCACCTTCAAGACAAAAGTCAACAGAAGTTGACTCCAACAGATTTCCTTAAAATAGGTCCACCTATGAAACAGGACCATGGGACATGTGAGAAACATCTAGCTCATACTTTTCTTCAGAAGTTGATGATGTTAGACTACAGAGCCAGATATATTCCTGTCAGACAAGACAGTGCAGAGGTTAGCCACGCAAATCCTATACCAGAGGTTGACACAACTGAGACAGAAGAAAATGACATAGATGCTCTTTTGAGCACCAGTGTAGACTCTGATCAATCAAAACAGACACGTGTGCATCCAATGGATGTTCAAATGGCAGTATTTCACTGTTCAGACAGCTTTTTTAAGCAGAACATGATTATGAAGCTATCACAATGTCAGTATGCCTTACCTTTACTTGTTCCTGACCCAGTCACAATGGATATTGACTGTCCTCTGTGGACATTCAGACAAATAAGAAAAACATGGAAGATAACTCAAATCAAAGATGATTCAAAAATGATCACCATGAAGAGCATGCCCATCTGTAAAGCTGAGACACCAATGGTGTCATTTTTCCGTCTGGGGTCACTATCTCTGTCTAAATCTCAGCTGATGAACACTTTGATCAATGACCGTCACAGCACCTTCTTCCACAGAAACTGCCCAGGTAGCACCAAGTCTTGTCATTTAATGGAAGGAGTAGTAGAGATTGCCTGGTACTGCCCTGCTGGAAAACCCAATGATGCCTTCACTGACTGCATTGCTTTCTGTAATCTTCATGGTGATGCTCTGTTGATTGAAAAACAGCGTGACATACTGACTGAAAAATCTTCAGTCAATGTTGTTCTGGTACCAACTCTGGAAAAAAGCCATCACAGTAGAAATGTTATCTCAGCCCTTCTCAAGTCTCCAAAGCCTCTCATTATTCTCACTGCTGATGATGATTGTGGTGCAGTTCAGATGAAGAAAGGAAAATACAAAATGGGTCTAAAAGACAGAAGCCAGTCAGATATTTCTGATGAACTAAAAGGAATCATTGGAAAGATTTTGTCTGAACCACCTGCATCCTTCCAGCTTGAAACCATGACTGAGGTCTCTGGAATCAGAGTGGATGAAAATGACACAGTCTGCAACAAAGGGAAATCTGCTGCAAAGAAAATGGTGGATTTGCTTCAGGGGATGGATGTTTCAAAGATCAAAGATAAATTCCTCCCATGCCAAGGCCAACTTTGGCATGAGTGGGGCAGAATAAACAAAGAACTGTATCACCTCAAAGGAAACATTGAGAATGAGAAATGTAAAAAGCAAAATGAACTGAAGAGAATAAGACAGGATCAATGCTCTGCTTCCCCTAGTAAACTGATAAAGGTGTTCATTGAAAGCCTCTCATCTTTGCCACCAACAGACAAAGAGTATTTCCTTAAATGGACTCAGATCTTGATAGATGCCCTCTCCGCAGACGATCTCTCTTTAATTCTCCAAAACTATGATGAAAAGTGGTCTGAGCTTGTGGTTTTGAAAGAGAAGCATGACAAATCTGATCATCTAAAAAACAAGCAAACTGAGCTCGATCAAATATCAAGAAAACTACAGTCAGCGACTTTTGGCTTGGAGCACATGTTTAGAGAAATGGGACAGATCTATGAAGCCCATGCATTTCTGCAGAAACAAACAAAGATGGAACGGACTGACTGGTCTAAATACCCTGAGCTGGCTGCAGAGCTGATGATAGCAGGACACCCAATGGAGCTGATGGATGGTGATGCAGGTCATGTGCCTTTAACATGGATCTCCAGTCTTTTAGATGAAGTCATCAAGAAACTGGGTGACAAAAAAGTTTTTGTTTTGTCAGTTTTGGGTGTACAAAGCAGTGGAAAATCCACAATGCTGAATGCAATGTTTGGGTTACAGTTTGCAGTGAGTGCTGGTAGGTGCACCAAGGGTGCCTTCATGCAGCTAGTCAGAGTGTCAGAGGAGATCAAGAAAGACTTTCAGTTTGACTATGTTCTAGTGGTGGACACTGAAGGACTGCGTGCTCTTGAGTTGGCAGGTAACGCCTCTCTTCACCACGACAATGAACTGGCAACATTTGTTGTTGGTCTGGGAAACATGACATTGATCAACATCTTCGGAGAGAATCCAGCTGAGATGCAAGATATTCTGCAGATTGTTGTTCAGGCTTTCATGAGGATGAAGAAAGTTAAACTTTCTCCAAGTTGTGTGTTTGTTCACCAGAATGTTACAGATATTGCAGCTGCAGAGAAAAACATGGATGGAAAGAGACGCCTGCAAGAAAAATTGGACCAGATGGCCCAACTAGCAGCCAAAGAGGAGGTTTGTGATGCTGAGTGCTTCAGTGACATCATTGCTTTTGATGTACAAAAAGATGTAAAATACTTTGCCCAGCTATGGGAGGGAAGTCCACCTATGGCTCCTCCAAATCCAGGTTACAGTGAGAGTGTTCAAGAGCTGAAGAACTTCATCCTCTCTAAAGCTTCACAGTCTGCTGGGATTAGTCTCTCACAGTTCAAAAGCAAAATTCAGGACCTGTGGAAGGCCCTGTTGAACGAAAACTTTGTTTTCAGTTTCAAAAACACACTTGAAATTGCAGTGTACAGAAAACTTGAGGTCCAGTATGGGAACTGGACCTGGGCCCTGAGGAGCAAAATGTTGACCATTGAAAACCAGCTTTATACAAGAATAGAAAATGGAAAACTTGACAATGTCGAGCGCAGTTGTCTTCAAACGGAAATGAAGAAAACATATGAAAAGATCAAAAAAGATATGACAACATATTTTGATGACAACAAAGATAAAGAAATGTTGGTTCAGTGGCGAGGCCGATTTGAAAGCAAAATCAAAGAGTTTTATGATGAACAAGTGAATGGAGTTCAGAAAAAACTGGAAGAAATTATCCAGCAGAAGAATGCTCGTAAAAAACTTGATGATAAGAAGACAGAGTTTGAGAACAAGCTGCTAGAAAAGAGCAAAGAGCTCGCTCATCAGTTAAAAGACAAGGCAAAAGATGAAGAGGAACTTAAAAGGCAGTTTGACTCTGTTTGGAGTGGCTGGGTTAATGAACTAACTGCAGACACAAAACCTTTTCAGGACATCAGCTATGACAAAGATGAGTCAGATATCCTTGAAGAGCTTGGTATTGAATGGTCTCTCATAAATGAATCCAAGAGCAGTGGCCGTTACAAAAACATATCAGAGGTTGGAGATTATTTTGATTATATAATCCCCCCAAAGCATCAAGAATTTTGTGACACAAGCCAAAAATCCCAAGATGATATGAGGGAAAACAAGAACCCAATAGTGCAACAAAGATATTCATGGTGGATGTCTTTCAAAAAGATGTTGGGATTTTCAAGACAAAAAAAGGAAAAACATACATCAGGGACTTCTTTACCATATGATGAACAGCAACTGATCAGATCCCTCATTGATGATGTTGAACAACATAACCTAGACATAATTAAGCGTAAACCTGTAGCTACAAGAGGCTACAGTCAAACATACTTGCAAGAAGTGGCCAAAAATGTAAAAGAAAGTGTGAAAGAATTTGAAACAAAGAGGAAATATGCTCTGAAGAAGGAGTTTACAGTTGATCTCTTACTGTATGTATTTGACAGAGCAGGTAGTTGGCTTTCAGAGTCCCACAGGAAATTCAAAATGAACAACGATGCACTCAGTTATTTGAAAAGCAAGAAAAACCAATATTACAACATTTTCAGAAGCTTCTGCAAAGGAAACTCGTCTGCTGTTGTGCTTGGAGAACTGATCTGTGAAAAACTGAAGAGTTCAGCTGTTGAGGCTGTCTGTAACAAGACTGCCATTGATCTCGCTGGAGAGATGAGGTGCAGTTTCCCAGCATTCAATGGGAACAGGTTGAACTTGGAGAAACATGTGTTGAAGTCACTGGCAGAGGAAGAGGACTTTAATGGCTATATCACCTACATCCGACACCCAAGGAGGCAAGTAGAGACTTTCATAAAAGAAGAAGTAAAGAAATACATCTTCACAGAGAACAAAGATAAAGCAGGAAATATGCTCAAGAAAAATGTTGAAGACACCAAACAACTTGTAAGTCGAGCTTTATTTACTGCAACAGAGAAAGTCAAAACTCCAGAAAAGCAGATACGGACATGTGGGTGGAGGAATTTTCCAGTTTGCTAAAAGATGAGCTAACATTTGACACCATTAGTTGTCAAAACTTCAGGGACATAAACAATTTTGACTTTCTTAAAGAAGAGATTGAGAAAGGCCTTAAATCCATCATGGAAGAGATGAGCAACATCTCACTGGATAAGATGAAGGAATTCAGACTGAAGCCTGATCAAATCCTCATCGATCAGCTGTGCAAGTGCTGCTGGGTAACGTGTCCATTCTGTGCAGCTGTTTGTACCAACACCTTAGAAGATCACAATCCTGATGACCATAGTGTGCCTTTTCATCGCCCCTATGGGGTCAATGGTTGGCACTTCAAAAACACAGTGGAACTGGACATCTGTTTCTGCACAACAAATGTTGCAAGTGATGAAAGGTTTTACCCTGATGGAACTAAAGAAGAGTTATTTCCCTATAAACAGTACCGAACTGCTGGCCCAAGGTTTGCTAACTGGAGCATCACCCCTGATGGCTCTAAGCTGAGCTACTGGAAATGGTTTGTATGTCGATTTCAAAAGCAACTTGAAGATCACTATAAATTAAAATTCTGTGGCGAAGGAGAAATTCCCAGTGAATGGAGAAACCACAGTAAACAAGAAGCTATTGAAAGTCTGGATGAACTGTACAATCTGTAGTGACCCAGAAACAACAAAACTTTACTCAAAGTAACAGAAGAACTGTTCAAAGGAATTAGTTTTTGATTTAAGAAAGGAATAAATGAATTTTATTTTTTATTTTTATTTTGGACAGTAATGTAAGCTATGATTTGACTTTTGATTTCACTTTTACTTTTATATTTTTTACTTTTATATAAAAATCTCATCAAACAGACATATTATTGTTTTAAGTTGTTATGAATTTCTTATAAAATACTGATGAGAAGGATATTTTTAATCATTCCAGATGTTTGTGTTTTTTAATACAAGATACATGATTATTTACAGTTTGACTTACAGTTGTTTAAAGCTTAAAAAACAAAGAAGGATGTTGAGCTGAGCTGAGACATGTTTTCAGAGGTGTTTATAGTTTCATTGATTTAAAATAAGAAATGTCAGCCATATTTTACCTTTTTCCTATAGTACAATTCTCATTTATATAACAGGCAACACAAGTTTTGTAGTTTTGATAAAAGTTGTATATTATCTGTGTTAACTGTGTTTGAGGGGTTTTGAAAGAATGAATGTAAAGTAAGTAATAGATAGGATGAGTCATGCAGTGGATGTTTGTATATCTATGAAACTTTCAACAAAATGGGAAACAGTTGTGACAAATTGAAATTTTTTTTAAACATTTTTTATTTACAAATTTTATTTTTGCTAACCTTTTAGTTGCTTCTGTCATCCAACTCATCTGAAAATATTTTTTAAAGGTAACACAAACATCTTCATCTTGATATTTTGGTTTTGATATTATTGTTTCCTCAGTTTAAATGTTTTTAAAGAATTTGTTGATTGATTTTTTTGATTCTTTTGTTTGTATTCAATGATTCTTAAAGTTTACAAAATTTAAATGCTCTTGTTTTTCCCAAATTGGAAATTTTTTTTTTTTTTCTTAATTAGACTTCTTTTAATGTTACGGTATATTGATATCTCTGTCTTTGTGTATTTTTTTTTTCCTGTAATAATAAACTAATCACATGGTCATTAGAATTGAAACCTAACAGAAGAACTATTGAAAGGAATTAGTTTTTGATTTAAGAAAGGAATGAAGGAGTTTTAAGATTGTCTTATCTTGAGGACAGTGGTGTAAGCTATGATTTGACTTTTTTTGACTTTTTGATTATACATCTCATCAAACAGATGTTATTGTTTTTTTTATGATTTTTTTAAGATACATGATGAGAAGGTTATTTTTATTCATTCCAGATTTTGTGTTTTTCTTACAAGATATTTGATGACTTACATTTGACTTACAGTTGTTTAAAGTTTAAAGAACAAAGAAGGATGTTGAGCTGAGACATGTTTTCAGAAGCGTTTATAGTTTAATTGATTTAAAATAGTAATGCCAGCCTTTTGGTTTTTTTTTAAATTTTTTTTTTTTTGGTTTAAAAAATTAATTAAAAGGATTTTTTTTTTACACATTTTTTATTTACAAATGTTTTTTTTGCTAACCTTTTAGTTGCTTCTGTCATCCAACTCATCTGAAAATATTTTTTAAATGTAACACAAACATCTTCATCTTGATATTTTGGTTTTGATATTATTGTTTCCTCAGTTTAAATGTTTTTAAAAGAATTTGTTGATTGATTCTTTTTTTTATTCTTCATGTTTTGCAAGTGTTTGGAGTATTCAATAATTTTACAGTTTATCGAATTTAAATGATCTTGTTTTATCCATATTGGAATTTGTTTTGTTGTTTGCTTAATTAGACTTATTTTAATGTTACGGTATATTGATATCCATAATTACTAACAAAAATATCAGTCTTTGTTCTTTCTCTGTAAAAATAAACTCATCACATGGTCATTAGAATTGAAACCTATCCTGTTATTATTGAGCATTATAAAGCGATCAGATTTTTCTGTTGACATATTCTCAAAATATGTACATTATTTATTTAAATAATATATTATAACAGTGTGAATTTTGTTAGCTATTTAAGATTTTGTCTTAAATCAAAGGTCCATGTTAGTGATATTTATTATCTTATCCTTTTTGCTTTTAATCTACTAAAACTCATCGTTTTGTCACCAAAAGATTAGATGACAAAAATGTTGAGAACAGTTTAGTGCAACCACAAAATGACAGATTGTATAATTAAGAATGCAGCTTTGCAGAGAGGCGGTGTCTCTGATGAGGGTCTGATGTTGTTTATTTAAAGGACAAACGTGTAAGATTTTACAGTTCCTTCCAGTGTGTGTAGGAGAATGAATCAGTGTTTGGTTTGTTTATTCTGGGCTACTGTAGAAACAGAATTGAATTTAAACATTTTATATTCTTGTGCACAAAAGGACATTTTTAAATAAATATAAATTTCTGATGTACTGAAGATCTACATCTCTTCAACCAGACTGATAAACACAGCATGCATTTGTTAGAGCAGTTGTGTCTCTCAGCAGATCTTAAAGGAAGTCAGTCTGAAGTCTCCTGCGATTTTTATGTAGCTAATGACATCCATGTTCTCACGGTTGGGAAACTGGACTTCCTGTCCATCAGGAAGCTCCACTTCAAATGTGTTTCCAGTCAGCTTCAACACAATCTAAAATGGAAACGATACATACAGATAAATCATTTTAGTTTCAGGAGAACAGCCACAATGAGACAATTATCTCAAAACCTCTCCTCACAAAACCTAAACTCCCTGAATGGATAAATATCCTTATATATACATATTATAATTGGGAGGATATATTTCTGAGGTAAACCCTCACTTCCTTGAATCAGATTCCCTCACCTTGACATCTGTGCCCCTGTGTAAGGGGTTGTGTATTTCCCGTTTCTCCTCGCCCCAACAACCAGCAGTCTTTGAGTTGCAAATGAGAACCGCTCCATCAGTGTCATCATGGAAACGAGGGTTGAAGTGCAGAGCTAAGTCGTCTGGACCACAGCCGAGGTCGACCTGGAATCTGAGTGGATCCGAGATTATACAATAAATGTACAGCAGTCTTAATATTTGTATGTTTGCAGAGCTTAGAGCATCACCAGGTTCATACAACTACAATCGAGAAACTTTACACAAAATTATAAAAAGGGCCATAAATCTATTTTTATACTGTTTCCTTCAACATTTGACTATAAATCAGAATCAAAAATACTTTATTGATCCCCGGGAAGAAATTTGTTTGGTACAGTTGTTCAAGGTGATCACACAATGTTAAAGAATACAAATAATACTTATATTACAATATCTAACAATATATAGAATAGAAATGTATGTATAGGTATATACTTATAAGTAAAAAAATAAAATGCAAATATAATAAGAGCCTATGTACCCTATAGTAATGAAATATATACACATTATATGCTAATATCTACAAGTAAATGTAAATGTTATGCTACAGTATGTGCCGACAGAAATGAAATAGAAATGAGTTTTAGAGATTGCAGTGTTGCAGAAGTTATAAACCTCTGTCCAGATGGAAAAAAGCTAAATATAAAAGTCAAAGTCAACATTTAAATACATCTGCATAGATATCACCATATTGTTTAATTCATTTAAGAGTCTAATATCAAATTAATGCAATGTGTTTGTTTAGCTTACCTCTCAGCTTCAGGCAGAATAAACCCCTTTACTTTCAGCTGATCTCCAGCACTCAGATTCACATTCTTCAATTCAAGTTTCTGAGAAAAACAGTTTTCATTAGAAAATTAAACGTTACTGTGAACAGCCAACAACCAAAGATTGATATCTGCCAGGTTTTTTATTCAACAAAGTACAGGGTGCAAATAAAAGCACAAACAAAGCAGTTTAACTTACCATGCTCATTTTGGGTGCTGGTGAACAGTCCTGGTGCTGATGGAAGATGTAAGAGGTCTCGGCACACAGTCTTCTGTCATGGAGGACTAAAATATAAGTAGTGTTGACTGTGAAGTTTCACCTAATTTATGATGTAGAAGCACAAACGATTAAAGGACTTTGATCAGTGACAATGTGTGCCATTCATCATGATAATCAAGTATCTTATTCACCACTCTGTTTAATCACTGCTGTTGAACTCATTGTTCCATATTTCCTTCCTGATCACAGAACAGGTTGTGAGTGGCAGCTGCCTCAGTGCCACTGTCACAACTACTCTACCAAGAGCAGATTAAATATTTTTAGATTAGGAGCCATTGTGCACATTGAGGAGGGCGGGAAACACTACTGATTACATATGCTGTGTACTTGTAATATGAATCTGTTAATCCTACGAATTAAAGAACATTTTTATGTTTTATTTGCATGTTTTGATCATTAAAAATTATTATTACTGATACTCTATTTTAAAGTATGTGTTGCTGCCATGATATGTAGTTTATGTATTATTGATCTTTTGTTAATTATTTTGCGACCACTGGGTGGCGTATAGGGGCAGGATATTGTATAGGTGAGCTCACATGGACAGGTTGAATAATTGGGGACTGACAGTGTAGCCATGCACACGCAGGTCTTTGTTGTGTGAGAATAAACCTTTTTCAAGTTAAAGAAGATGTCTGTATGGAGTACACACGTCCAACTAGTTTTAATCAGTCTAGCAATCACACCAGTGGCGTTGTGCAGCATTTAATTCAAAAACAAGCCCTGGAGGATCGTGTGATTATCACTGGAGTAATTGGAGAGATGTGTGCGCTGCCAGCGGATCGATCTTTGGATTAAACGGATATCAGCGGACGATGGACTTTGAATATGGATTTCTTCAGAATTGGAGCTGTGGGTAAAAACGAACTAATGAAATGTACATTTGGAAAGTTCAAACTGAACTAAATTTATATGACACGTTCCGTGGTTTGTTGCCAGCTGGAGAAACTGAAAACACATTAAATATATGTATAAACCAAAGATGAATGAATGTCAGTGAGTTTACTGAAGAGGTTAACATGTGGTTGAAAGGTGATGTTCGAGTTGATGATGCTGAAAATGAGAATCAGCTGCAGCCTAATGAATGATCAATATCAAATGTCGCAACTAATCGCCTTGTAAAACATCAAACTGTGATCGATCATCTGGACACCTTTGCTGATAAACGGTCTGACTCTGCCCATGTAAAGACAAAGACTAATATATTGGAAAGGTTTATCACACTTTTTATATAGAAGAGGATAGGTGGTTACATCAAAAAATTAGTAAATGTATTTGAGGATATTACTATTTTTTGATGACTTTTTGTTATCTAATTGTTTAACAGGATCAGTTCGCTGTATTTTGAAAGTACTTACCGGAAGTGGTATTGTGGTATCGCGTCTGCATTGACGGAACTTGACGATTTTAGTGTTTTGCAGTTCCTCACTGTCGCCACAAGAGGGCAGCAACGAGTCGAGATTACAACTTTACTTCTTCAGATGACATTAAATGGACTGGATACTGATTGATAAAAAAAAAGTGATCAATACAGATTATCATTACAAATGTATGTAGTATTCCCAGTGAAGAATGTAGACTTTGTGTTTCTATGACCACAAGAAAACTAATTAAAATCAGATTAATCTTTTTGAATCGCAAATTCCGCTATGATATTGGAAGTGATGAAATAAAGTAAACTGATACGTTTCAAGTATATTTTATTGTCATTTATGTTGTAGAATGAAATTCAGATATTGTTCCATTTATACTGCTTTTAATATATATACTATACACTAATTTGCATGATGAATTGTTGAAGAATATAAAAGTCTCACAGCCTGAGGGAAGAAGATGTCTTTATGTCTGGTGGCAGCAGAAACTTCTGTGCAACAGATCGGTGATCAATGACTAATAAACATCCCATAATGTCAGTCTGCAAAAGTTAACAAAGAATTTACGGGAATGTTGCTTACTTAAAGTAACTTTAAAATTTAAATAAAATTATAAGCCAGGACTGATGTCGTTTGTGTTTTTATTTTCCATCGTTCTTGAGTTTCCTCAAGAGATACAATTATTTCTTAACCAGACTGGAGACGTGACAGAAGTTGATCTGATAAAAGTTTAATTTAAATATTCTCCGTTTTCGGTCTGACAGATGAGCCGCACAGGTAACATTAACAACAATCGTAGTTAGCTATAGCTAATTGTTTAATAGGATCAGTTCGCTGTATTTTGAAAGTACTTACCGGAAGTGGTATTGTGGTATCGCGTCTGCATTGACGGAACTTGACGATTTTAATGTGTTGCAGTTCCTCACTGTCGCCACAAGAGGGCAGCAACGAGTCGTGATTATAACGCTGAATGCTTCCTCGGATGACATTAAATGGGCTGAATACTGATTGATAACAAAAGTGATCAATACAGATTATCGATACAAATGTCTGTAATATTCCCAGTGGAGAACATTTTAATAAAGGTAAATCGTTAACGGCCAATAAACGTTTCTTAACCAACTAAATGTGCTATTCCACCTGCCCACAGCCTACATGAGCCAGCAGCTAAACTAGAGGTTGGTTAAAGGTTTAATTTAAATGTTCTCAGTTTTAGCTGCACAGAAAATACAACAACTACAAACTACAAAAATAACTATAATAATTACGCTTAGCAGGGTCTGTTAATGCAATGTCAAATAATATGTTGTTTTCACTGGAATCTGAATATCTTTACGTTTGTTGGCTAGTCACTTGTTTAATTCATAGTTCACAGGTTGGTGTGTAGATACCTGCTGACACTATACTAATTTAATTTATTAATTTAATTTAAGGACCATTTAAAAAGAGCATTATTTTAGCATGTTTTAGAGGATAGTACAATATCATATGATGATATGTAGTAAAACAACAACACAAACACTTTTTGTGAAGTAAACAAAACAAAATGCCATTATCTCAGAGTTGAAACAGCATCTTGCTCACAGTTTCAACAAAAACTCAACATTATCATCATCATTATAGCTTCACAATGGTAGTATTTATTAGTGGCCTGTTTATTGTGGTGCAATTTATTGTAAAAGTTTTATATTTTCTTTTTAAACTCTGCCCTTTACATCAGTGGATGACCCCTTGATGAGTATGGGCCATATTTTATGGATATTTCATATTATATTCAATACATGACAAAAACAGGACAACCGATGAACTGTTCAACCCAAATAGTGAGCACAATAAGTGCAGTAAGTTTGTGTAATTATGAGCAGATTATTATATATTTATTATGAGCTCAAAGATCAGTTTTACTGATATTTTTAGTAACTTTTTCTACAATTCTCTGGCTGTCATATAAGATGAAGACAGTCAGCACATCACATTTAAGAAGCCAAAAAAACCCAGAAATTGTTAATAATTTTTGCTTGAAAATTGACAGAATAGTCGCTGATAAATTTACAGTCAATCGATTGATTATTTGATTACTTGTTTCAGCTTTAATGTGGATATTTAACTGTGGTTTCTGAGTGAGTGTAATGATCGATGATTGCTCCAGACATCACTGACACCGCTGCAGATTCATTCAGAGAAAATCAATGAAACAAAAAGGAATATATTATCAGTCTGGTGTGATTATCCAAAGGCCAATTTAACGCTTTTATGTATTTGTGAAAATACATAATTGGCAGAAAGTGAGCCTCCTGCTTTTAAAGAAGATTATATTTTGTATTCACTGCAGTTACAGTGAAATTAAGTTTAATTCTAGTAATATAAACACTGATACAACCCGTACATGTAACATATCCCTGTACTCCTAAAGTGATTGTGTTTTAGTGTAATGAGAGAAAAAGTCTCTAACTTTTAAAGAAATAAACTTGATTGAAATTTAGTTGTTTTCTTTGTCGTTAACAGAGGAGCTCCAGAACCAGGGCGTGCACCAGAGGAGAACTTAACAAGTACAGGGTTCCCTCCCTGCTGGACGTCTACCAGCAGCGAGGCTTCACAGTTCACCACATGCCCTTTCCAGACGGAGACGCTCCCGAGCTGACGCAGTGCTGCCAGATCCTCGAGGAGCTGCAGGTCAGCCTCGAGAACAACAGGAGGACTGTGATCCAGTGAGTGAACTGATGCTTATTACTGAGATCCAGAATCACTGTTGACTGTTGACGATGAATCTTCTTTTGTTGTTTGATATATAGTATTTTCATATAGTGGAGCACATTTATACATAAATACATAGATTAAACAACTGAACAGAAGGTAAGCCTTCTGTTTCTCTTCCTAAAATATTAAACATCCCTCATTCCAAAGATGCAAAAGAGGGTTTAAATAACAAACAAACTTAATTTAATCATGTCTGCGTGAACAAAAAGATGAAATAAAAAGAGATAATAAAGAGTGTTTACATGACAAATTATCATCCTCCTCTATAATCAGGTTATTTCTGCCACCATGGCTGCAAATATTTTGTGTTATTGTTTGTTACATGAAGTATTTTTTATTTTATTATTACTGAAGTAAAATGCTCCACGTAAACCGAGCTACTGCCAGCAGCAGTAAAAGGTCACTAGGACATGTAAAATCTATTGAAAGGGCCCCGAGAGGCTCTTGAATCCCCAAGTGAGCTGATGAAGCTGCTCACCAGGCAACAAGGAGAAACTGGTTGGACTCACTTAATGTATGAATGTGAATGTGAAGCAGGGTATTTCTAACCAAGCATGCAAACTTAAAAACTATCCCCCGGACGAGTAAAGATTAAAAATAGACATGGATACAGCCATACTTTCTGTGACGAACACATCCTTTTGTGTTTTTAGTATCTGAAGTATTTTTAAACCTTTGAAGTGCCAGACAGCCCTAGAGAACCAGAGTACATCTCACCACAAAGACATCTATTTTCTGTCACGCCTCGGGACACCTCTTATTACACAACTGAACAATTTGCTTCCAGCTTTCAGATCATTTGATGGGATTTTTGACTTTTTTTCCCTTCCTCCTTCAGCTGTTACGGAGGCCTCGGACGCTCTGGATTAAGTAAGAATATTTT